AGTAGACGGAAAGAACGGTTGACGGGGAGGAGACTTCCAGACCGGGCTGGCGAGCGCACGGGGCTCGGGTGGGAAAAGGCTCCTATAGGTGAGGCGACTGCTTGACAGGAGGGGACAAGATCGAGAACCAGCGCTCGACGAGAGGTAGGTGTCGACGAGCGAAGGGCAGGAGGGGAGAGGGTTGGAGAGGCGTGGAGAAATGAGATTGAGCAGAAGACCAGGTTATATACCATTCGACCGTCCCGGTGACAAGAGGTTACCGGACTGTGGGAAAAACGCAGGTCGTCGCAGAGCTGCGTCATCTGTGTGCGCGTGTGCGTGCACGGGTGCGAGGCTGATGGTAGTTTCGCAGGCATCTCCGCGCGCTTGCGGGGATTGCGGGCGCAAGTGACGGTAATGGAGCGCAGAACGCGCAGCCAAATGCGCCCCGCTTAGTGTACACGGCGGCACGCGCCGGCACACACGGGGTGCTCGGGAGGCGTTCCTCAATTGCAAGCCATTGTCGCGCTGCGGACCCAACGAGGTGTCCGCAACTGCGCGCGTGATTGCGCTGAGCGTGACTGATCACAAAGACGAGGCTAAACAGACGGTCACGTTTGCGGCTGCCAGTAGGGCTCAGTTACGGTGTTGTGGGCAATCGGTTCTATCGGTTCTGTGTTGCTCTCCTTCAGACTGCAGTGAGCACTTAGTGTGGTACTGCGACTGGCGTGATCAGATAAGTGCTTTCAGTGATCAGTGACCAGGTTATCAAGATCCATCCGCTGAGACTTCCGGAACCCGGGGAGACCAGCTCGGCGATTGGCGGAATGGCAACAGCGGGCTGCACAGTGCGCGGCCCAAGATCGCGACGCACCAGCGGCCTCCGATTCGCGATCAGAGGAGCCAAAGAGGCCGCTGCCTTTGCTGCCTTTGCCGCCTTTGCCGCCTGAACAGCGGAGGATTAGGTGCCCGCGCAGAGAGCACAGTAGCCGCGGCCTCAGCCATTACGCGGTTCGGAGCCGCCAATTCCGCCAACGTTCCAGTAGCTTGTCGTGCGACAGCAATGGCGGGAGCTTGGAAACATTGCGCAGCAACCTCGTCCGAAGCTTATGAGCTGCGCGGGCTGCGGGCTTCCGAAGTCATTCGCGATCAGCAAGGCATCTCGCAGCTCATGATCTCATAGCTCGTCAGCTGCTTCGCCGCACCCCACCGGTGTTCATCAAGGAACAGGGAACAGTTTGACCGGCGCGCCTCACCCACCCGTTACTGATCTGCGCCTTGCTTCGCCCTCGCCCCGTGGTGTCTGTGCAACTGTGATCTGTGAAGACGTCAACTTCAAGTCCGTCACACCGCAGTGCATGCGGCCCGCGGCCAGCGGCACTTCTGGAGGTGAGTAGTTCCGAGACGGTCACGTACTGCGTGAACTGCACCGCGGTTCATCTCGCAGCCGGAGCAGCCGGAGAAGGCCTTAGCTTTTCACCCTTTGACCCGTTCTCCCGGAAAGCCCGCCGCCGGCCGCCGGGGGTGTCCAGGTGCGGGGCTAAGCTGGCTTGCACGTTTGCACGCTTGCGTGACGTATCGATGTGCTACTGTGCTCACCTTGGGCGCATGGTCCGATGACGCGTGAGGTCATTGATTTGATAGTTACTCTCGCAATGCCCCGACTAATGCCCGCAATGCAGGTGACCCACCTGGGCATTCTGAAGACAACTGGCCGTCGCTATCGTCTCTGAGCTCACTGAATGCTCTCGTTGACAAAACCTTTCCGGCATAGCTTCGCAGCGTATTGCTTTCATGCTCTATGACAGAACGTGATGCATCCGCAACGCACCTAATCAACAAGCTCGAGCGGCCTGTAGACCGGGTTCCACATGTTGTCCGCGATCATCTTCTGCAGGTCCTTTTCGCTCTTCTCCTTGGCCGTCTTGATCGCCTCCTCGTCCGTCGCGACGCCCTCGTCGATCGCCTGCTTGATCACGCCGGACGCGATCGGCACACTGACCGTGCGCACGTCGCTGAGATCGGGGAGCAGGGCGGCATTCTCGTCCCTGAGTGCTGGAGACTGGGAGGCGAGCGCATGTACCGCCGCCATCAGCATGGCGGGGGAGATGACCTTGGCCCCCGAGAGGATGGCGCCGAGACCGAGCGCGGGGTACAGGAGCGCGTTGTTACTGTGAGTCAGCTAACCACCGTTGGATCTCAGCTCACGTCTGGGCGATTGGAACTGCGGTGGTCAGCTTGGTTCAAGAGCAGATGTCAGCTACACCTCACCTTCCTTGCCGTCCGGCATCGGTACCGGCGGGAACGGCGATCCCGTTGCGATGAGTGCGTTTCCGTCCGTCCAGTTGAGTGCGTCGATGGGGTCGACCTCACACAGCTCTGTCGGGTTGCTGAGCGGGAAGATGATCGGTCGGCCGCTGCCTCCGTTCTCCTTCGTACCCTCGTACATGGTCTTGACGACCTCCTCGTCGAAAGCGCATCGGCTCGTGCTCGTACCAATGAGCACCGTCGGCTTGACGTGGCGCACGACGTCAATTAGCTGCGCCTCATTCGGCAGCTCGGGGTTCTCAAGCTTCCAGTCGGCAATGTCGCTGTCTGGGCGCGCGAATGCGATCTGGCTGTGGCGGAGCGAGTTGCCCTGCGACTCCAGGAGCAGACCCTGGCGGTCTACGCACCAGAAGCGCTTCAGCGCCTCCTCGCGAGACAGACCGCCCAGGATCATCAGTCCGTCCAGAATCTGGTTCGCGATGCCCATGCCTGCTGATCCAGCGCCGTAGATGACGATGCGCTGGTCCTCCAGTGGCGACTTGATCACTTTGAGCGCGCTGACGTTAGCTAAACGGAAGAGCGTAACGAAGCTGACGACACTCACGAGATCAGCGCCGCAAGCGTCACCGCGCCGGTACCCTGGATGTCGTCGTTGAAGAACGGCATCTGGTTCTGGTACTTCTGCATGAAGCGGTACGCATTCGCCATGCCAAAGTCCTCAAACTGTCACGTCAGCTAAGCGTCGTCGCCTACTGGCTATACTCACGTGAATGACCGCCTTCGGGAAGATTTCACGACACGTCTGGACAAACTGGTCGACAAAGTCATCGTACACCTTGCCACGGAGACGCGTGCGCTTCCAGCCCATGTAGAGCGGGTCGGAGAACAGGGCGTGGTTGTTCGTTCCAACATCGAGCATAACAGGCAGAATACGGTTCGGGTTGATACCCGCTCCAAGGGTGTAGAGCGCCGACTTAGACGTCGAGATGGTGATACCACCAACACCCTGGTCGCCGATACCCAGAATCGCCTCGGCATCAGTCACCACGACGAGGTCGATCGTCTCCTTAGGATCCTCGGACGCCATGGCTACGTCGGCGACGCGGTTGATGTCGTGCAGGTGTGCGAGCAGCTGGGCGCGCATGCCGTCCTTGTTAGGATACGACTGTATGTTAGCTGAAGATCAGCCGCGGGCAGCTCAGACTCACGAGGAAGCATCCGATCGGTCGTCGGAACAGGTTCGAGTACTGCGCGACGGCCTGCGCCGCGCCAGGGGTGTAGAGCACGCCGAGGAGCTCCTTCAAGTGGTCCTGCATCAAGCGGTAAAAAAGGACCTGGTTCTGGTCTCTGGGGGTTAGCTGAACGTCATCTTGCAAGCTATATGCCACTTGGACTCACCGCAAACTCGCAAGGAAGGCATGCTGCTGGATGACGGACGGCTGCTTCTTGAGCTGGTTGTACGCTCGCAGCGCCTGGCGCTCGAGACTGTGCACATCGTAAGGGAGGAAGCCTTCGAGTCCGAACACGGCACGCTCCTCGCGACTGAAGCCGGCGCCCTTGTTGAGCTGGTCGTTAGCCTTCGGAGTGTCGCCAGGGGCGGAGTGGTGAGTGGCTGCGGTGAGGTGACAACAAGCCAGCGGATGACGTCACCGCCGCGATCGATGGGGAAGACGCCTGTCGCGCTGTCACAGGTGTCGGCGGACACGGCGGCGCCGGCAGCAGAGCAGCAGAAGAGACGCTCCGAAGAGGGAAGGCATACTCACGGCGGGGGTGTTGAGAAGTTCTGATCCCCTGAGGTTTGTGCGGATGGGGATATCGTTGGGGCTCTTGTAGTTGTAGTAGTGAGCAGGGTATGTCGCAGCCCTCGTGCAAGTCGGGGCGCGGAGTGGGGGGCGCGCACGGGAGAGTGAGCGGAGCATGGTGATGGATGGTGCAGAGGCAAACAGAAGTTTGTTGGCCAGCTGTGTCAAAGAGAAGATCTCTTGATGCATGACGGAGGAGGCGGACCCCATGACATGGGCGGTAGGTACCGAGAATGAGAGCAACGGCATGAACAGGTGATGCGCGTCGCTCTAACCCGGGGGTCTCATTGGCCACTGCAAGGAACCAGGTGGGGGCACCGACGATCTATTTTCGAATTCCTGTCGACAGGTCCGGCACGCTCGGCGATCAGCTCGGCACAAACCAACAACTACTCCTGTAGATGCCGCACCTGCTTCGTTTTCACAAGTCACGCATGGGGGTCACGTTTGTTCTTCCTCTCACAAGTCTCCTTAGCAACAAGCTTGCTGTCACTGTGCAGGCCTGTACCTCTCGTTACGAGATCAGAAGCAAGACGTTGATAGTCTGGCCTAGACTGAGGTAACGAGAGCACATAATCAGGTGGCCCAGGTGGCTCAGACGGAGACGCCGCCAGGGTTACTGCGTGCACGTTCGTCACCACATCACACCCTCACTCCTTCGTGACCCTACGCCAAGGCGTCAGCCAATGACTCTTCTGACGCCTCTACTCACTGTCCGACAAGCTGACAACGCATGCTGCGTGCCCAAAATGGACTCTATCCTCCGAAGTCCGCCGCCATTCGGAGCTGACCCATCATCTCCGCTGCTCAATGCCCGTTAGTCACCGATCCACTGATGCCAATGCCGAAACTATGCATGATAACTCTAGAAATTGTGGGACCTAATGAAAGGGGTATGAACTCTTGCTTTGCTTGTTATGACTACTCTCCTACACCTATGCGACGCTGACGTTGAGGCGGATGCCCATGCACGCCATCTCGGCGCAGAGGTACCTGAAGACGTACGGGACGGCGATGACGTCCATCTTGGAGGACGCGGCGGTGGCGGTGCTCTCGCGCTTGGCGACGACACCGACGCTCTTGTCCTGGACGGCGCCGTCGAGGGCTCCCGGCTGCTCGTTCCGCTCACAGATGCGGCAATACTGCCTCGGCCGCCCGTCGTTGGTGGGGCCGACGGAATCGTCAAAGCCCAGCGAGATGAGCGAGCCGCACCCGCGACACACCCACGCCGTCGAGTAGTCGGAACAGTTCATGAGACGGTCCTGGAGCAGGAACGACGTGCCGTGGGCGATGAGCGCGTCGCGCTCCATCTCTCCGAAACGGATACCTCCGGCACGCTTGCGGCCCTTGACGGGCTGGCGCGTGAGGGGGTCGACGGGTCCGGTCGAACGGGCCTGGTACTTGTCGTTGACCTGGTGACGAAGACGCTGGTACGCACAGGGGGCGAGGAAGATGTCGGCGCGCATCTCCTCGCCAGTCACGCCAGAGTACATGGGCTCGTTGCCGTGGTAGTTGTACCCGGCCTTGCGGAGCTGCTCGCCGAAGAACTCGACGGGGCCCTCGGCGTCCGAGAACTTGAACGGCGTCGCGTCCTGGCACTGTCCGTGCACGGCTCCGGCTTTGGCGGCCAGCATCTCGACGAACATTCCAATCGTCATACGCGACGGGAACGCGTGCGGGTTGATGATGACGTCCGGGCGCATGCCCGACTCAGAGAACGGCATGTCAATGTCCTTGAACTTGACGGAACAGACACCCTTCTGTCCGTGACGCGATGAGAACTTGTCTCCGATAACGGGCGAACGCGGGATACGCAGCTTGATGTGAATCTTCTGCAGCTCCGAGTCGCCCAGGTCCGAGCCGAGTACACGGACTTCGTCAATGTACGCCGTCTCGTCGCCCTTGTACTTGTGCACCTTGGTACGGCCCGTCGTGTCGTCAATGTAGGCGCAGAGCGGGTCACCGCTCTTGACACGCGTGCCGAGCTGCGGCAGACCGTCCTGGTCCAGGAACTGGCGCCACGGCGAGTCGGGCTTGACATCGCGTCCGAGACCAAAGTGCAACGTCGGCGCGGCGGTGCGCGACCGCGCAGCATCCTTCAGGTCGAAAATATCCGCCTTGTACACCGTACCGTAACCGAAACCGCGCTCGTGCGAAGACTTGTTCAGGATCATCGCGTCTTCCATGTCGTAACCCGTGTACGAGATGACGGCGAGGATCGCGTTCGTCGCGTTCGGGAAGTCGTCGAATCCATAGTCGTTGTGCAGCGACGGGCGAACGATCGGCGTCTGCGGGTTCTGGATGCGGTAGAACTTGTTGTCCGTACGGTGCTGGAGGGCGGTAGACGGTGTTCCCATCGTTTGCTTACCCATCTGGCACTGGTACATGTTACGCGGGGACTGGTTGAAGTCGGAGAAAGGCGTCAGGTTGGCGAGGACCGAAAGCATCGATGTCGGGTCGAGCTCGACGTGCGTGCTGACACCCTTCTCAACCTCCTCCGGCTTGATCGCAATATCCATGTACACCTGCTCGAACGTGCCAACGTGGTCCATCTTGTCGTTCTCGAGGTAAGTGACGGGGCGCATCATGCGCGAGCGCGAGCCGAACAGGTACAGACCGGGGTACTGTCCTCCCTTGGTGACGGGGACGTAGCCGACCTCGAGATCGAGCGGGACACGGGCGTCGCCCTCGGTCTTGAGCTTGCGGAGCAAGTCCGCGAGCTCCTTGGCCTTGGTCGGGGAGGCCCAACCGATGACACGGCCGTCGAGCTGGACAACGACGTTGGTCCTGCCGTCGATACCGGTGGCGAAGACCTGGGTCATGCCGTGAGCAGACAGCAGCTGGGGAATCTTGCTCGTGTCGAGGGGCTTGACGACAATCTGGCAAGTGTGCGAAAGATGGTTGAGAAGACCACAGGGCGATCCGTCGGGCGTGTGGACAGGGCAGAGGAAACCCCACGACTCGGGAAGCAGCTTACGGACGGCAGTCGTCTTGAGCTCGGCGAAGAACGCTCCACGGTGGATACAGCGGAAGTGCGACAGGTATCGGTAGAAGTTGAGCTTCTCGGCAACGACGGTGAAACCAGACGTCTGCTGAAGGTCGAGACCTGTCGGCGAGACGAGGTTACCCGTCGCAAGGAAGTAGGAGAGCTTGGAACCGACGTCAAAGTTGACCTTGGTCAGGACGGACGGGAAGTACTTGGGGTCGTCGAAACTCTTAGCACGTCCCTGGCGCATGTCCATGTTGATCTGCGCCTTGACGGCGTTGAGCGACTCGTCGAAGCGCTCCTTGATGATTATCGCGTAGAGGAAACCGGGAAGGAGGACCTCGTGGTGCTGCGGCGAATCGGGGTTGTCCGGGCACGACGTGCCGGCGACCATCGAGTAGAGCTTGCGGAGCATGAAGAGGAGCATGCGGAACTTCTCGCGGGGCTGGGGAAGGTGGACAAGAACAACCTTCTTAAGGAGGTAGCTTCCGACCTGCACGTTGGTCCAGTCGTCCGGGCAGTTCATAACAACACGGAACTTGTCACCAAGGTAGTCGAGACACTGCGTGCCGGTCTGCAGGTTCCAGCTCTTCTGGCCACGGAGCAAAAGCTCGACACGGTCCGTCAGGAACGTGTTGTCGTACTCGCCCTGGACAAGACCCTCGAAGATCTCGAGGTCGCTGGCGTCGACAAGCGCCTTGAGGATAAGAACGAGAGGAATCATGTACTCGACCTTGCGCCAGGCGAAACGGAGCGTCGCTCCACCGTTCGACAGGTAGTGGATCGTGTTGGTGCACGCGCTCTGGTCCGGACGGACGCAGCGGATCTGACATCCGTACGGGGTGTAAGAAACACCACGCTTGGCGAACGAGGGGCGGTAGAGGTTGATGGGATGGTGACGGCGGGGAAGAATGAGGTAACGAACGAGCTTCTCGTTACCGTTGATGATGAAGTAGCCTCCCCAGGACGAAGATTCCTCTCCGTGCTTGACAAGCTCGGCGGCGGGCATTCCACGGATGTTGCAGCGCGCAGACTTGACCATGATAGGCAGCATACCGCACTCGCGCACCTCCTCAGACTCCCTCGTCGTTCCATCGGCAGTGGTGACCTTCCACTTGATCGTCACAGTCAGGCGGGAGCGGTAGGTCGTGAGACGCTCACGCGCCTCGCTGGGGAAGATGCGGCGCTCGACTGCAGTCTTGTCCCTGTCGGAGACAAGGGGCTTACCGAGGGCAACCTGGGATATCCGGTCTGAGGAAGGTCAGTCACCAGCCCAGCTCCGCTTCTATACAAACAACAAACGCACAAGTGATCTTGTTGCCGTAAGGCAGGCCCTCCTCCGACTTTCCGTCGAAGATGATCTTCTCTCCGATATCCTGAACACCGAGCTGGAGCAGGCCCGGCTGGCCGTCGTCGCCCTCTGTCAGAGCATCGAAGCTCTCGATGTGGGGGCGCACCAGCTCCTCGTGCGTCGCATAGTCGGGGCCGTTGGGGTTGGGGTGGCGGAACGCACGCTCGCGGGTGAGCGTGCGGAACGTCGACTTGTCGGGGTACTTGGAAGAAGTCGCCTTGGAGGGCGACAGCGGGTCGAACGTCATGGTTGGATGATGGTCAAGACGACCGTAGCGACGACCACCTGGATGAGGATTTCTCGAGGCTCAAGATCCATGACACAAGCGTGAAGATTTCAGTCCACCACAGAAATTTTGGTTCCGCCACAGTTCCTGACCGGCTCAGACCACGTGGTACCCATCTACGCTGAGCTCATCATGAGACTGTCTGCACAACGCTTACGAGGCATGCATGCACAAACTATTGCAAGTTTTTAGGCATGCGCATGTTGGGTAGCTGTCCGAAGCCATTACAGTGCACTGCACAGTGCGACTGGATGGCAGACGCGTCACCTGAGTCTTTTAGTGCTGAAGTAACAAAGACGGCAGGGCCACATGCTCGAAGCAGCTGAACTGTCAAGGGAGAATGCAGCATGTGTATTGCCAGGCCATCTGGTTATATCTTTGGGTCACTCTGGGGCTTGTAGCCATAATTAGCTGCAAGGATGAACTCTGGCAAGTTCATCTTCTACTCGTGGGCACCCTGCTCTGTGCCTGCGGACGAGTGTGGTGGTGGAGGTGAGTGACCATCGTTGGGTAGCTAACAGCAAGGACTCTGTGAGATCATGTTCGACCGCCCTCGCCGCAAGTGGAAGTGTCGGTTCTGCAGTAGTGTGTACCATCGTGATGACCTGGAGCTTTTTGAGTCTCAGAGGCTGCCTCGGCGTCGTTCCGACAGGTCTCAGCGGAGCTCCCACAGCCTTCCGAAGCGGGTTTCTGGAATCCGTGCTGATCGCTGACTGCACCCGCCCGCCACATTCAGCATCATACTATAATCTGCAGCATTGCAATGCTCAATCTATTCATGACTGGCAACGTTTTACGGGGACATAAAATGTAATAAACTAAGTAAATGTGATTGTACAACAATGAAACTCCTACGCAACTACCTGATCGTCATCACCGTCTAGCCCGAGCACATGACGCAGGCGTCCTTGTTGTCGATGGAGCACTGGAGAGCGGCAGCGGCACGCTCGTCGGCGCGGCGCTTGGCCTCCTCGTAAGAGACCTCCTCGTTCTCCGACGGATTCGGCGACTCGCTGCCGCCACGGGCGCGCGAGGCGGCGGTGACCGCAGGGTGAACCTGCGAGGGAGCGGTGGTCTCGATCTTGATCTTGCGCATGGGCTCAGTGAGCTCGTTGACCGAGGGAGCGGGCTTGGACGCAGTGTTCCTCGACGAGGGGCGGCTGCCCTGCGACTCGTTGGCCTTGGCCTGCTTGAGGGTCTTGGCGTCGATAGTGAACTGGATGGCGTTGGCGGCAGGACGGGTGCGGAGGTAGTAGGCACCAGTCTTGAGTCCACGCTTCCAGCCGTAGAAGTGCATCGAGGTGAGCTGGGAGAACGAGGGGTTCGCGAGGTGGATGTTGAGCGACTGCGACTGGTCGATGAACGCTCCACGGTCGGCAGCGAGGTCGATAACCGCCTTCTGCGAGATCTCCCAGACAGTCTTGTAAATGGCCTTGATGTCATCAGGAATGTTGGGGATATGCTGGATGGAGCCACCGGAAGCAATGATGAGGTTCTTCATCTCCTCGTCCCAAATTCCGAGGTTGATCAAGTCGCGAAGAAGCCAGGGGCAGACAACCGCGAAGTCACCAGACAGGACACGGCGCGAGTAGAGCATCGAGGTGTAAGGCTCGAAGCACTCGTTCCAGCCAAGGATCTGCGAGGTAGAGGCAGTAGGCATGGGGGCAACGAGGAGCGAGTTGCGGACGCCGTGCTGGGCAATGTTGGCACGGAGCTCAGTCCAGTCCCAGAGGTCGGTGGGCTCGACGCCCCAGAGGTCGGGCTGGATCTTGCCCTGCGACATGGGCGAGCCCTCGTACGAGGGGTACTTGCCGAGCTTCTGGGCCATCTCGCACGAGGCCTCGAGGGCGGCGTGGTAGATGGTCTCGAAGATCTGGAGGTTAAGCTGGCGAGCCTCGCGCGAGTCGAAGGGCATGCGGAGAGCCATGAAGGTGTCGGCGAGACCCTGGACACCGAGACCGACGGGGCGGTGGCGCATGTTCGAGTTGCGCGCCTCGGGGACGGGGTAGTAGTTGCGAGTGATGACCTGGTCAAGGTTGCGGGTGACAACCTTGGTGATCTCGTGGAGCTTCTTGAAGTCGTAGGTCTTGGTCTCGAAGTTGACGAAGGCGGGGAGAGCGATCGAGGCAAGGTTGCACACGGCAACCTCGTCAGGGGACGAGTACTCGATGATCTCAGTGCAGAGGTTCGACGACTTGATGGTGCCGAGGTGCTGCTGGTTGGACTTGCGGTTGGCAGCGTCCTTGTAGAGCATGAAGGGACCACCGGTCTCGGTCTGAGCCTCAAGGATGGCGAACCAGAGCTTTTGGGCCTTAATGGTCTTGCGACCCTTACCGGCACGCTCGTAGCTCTCGTACAGCTTCTCGAACTCCTCGGAGTGGACGTCGGCGAGGCCAGGGCACTCAGCCGGGCACATGAGGGTCCAGTCACCGTCAGACTCGACACGCTTCATGAAGAGGTCGGAGATCCAGAGGGCGTAGAAGAGGTCACGGGCACGAACCTCCTCCTTTCCATGGTTCTTACGGAGGTCCAGGAAGTCGAAGATGTCGGCGTGCCAGGGCTCGAGGTAGATGGCGAAGGCACCCGGGCGCTTGTTGCCACCCTGGTCAACGTAACGAGCGGTAGCGTCGTAGGCACGAAGCATGGGAACGATACCGTTAGAGTAGCCGTTGGTTCCGGCAATGTACGAGCCCTTGGCACGAATGTTGTGGATGTGGAGACCAATACCACCGGCAGTCTTCGAGATCTGAGCACAGGTCTTGAGAGTGTCGTAGATACCGTCAATGGAGTCCTCCTTCATGGCGACGAGGAAGCAGGACGACATCTGGGCGTGGGGGGTGCCCGAGTTGAAGAGCGTCGGCGAGGCGTGGGTGAAGTAGCGCTCGCTCATGAGGTTGTAGGTCTCGATGACCTTCTCAATGTCATCACCGTGGATACCAACGGAAACACGCATGAGCATGTGCTGGGGACGCTCGGCAATCTTTCCGTCGATGCGGAGGAGGTAAGAGCGCTCGAGGGTCTTGAAACCGAAGTAGTTGTAGGCAAAGTCACGGTCATAGATGATCGCGGCGTCAAGAGCCTCCTTGTTCTTGGAGACAATGTTGTAGACCTCCTCAGAGACCATGGGGGCATGCTTGCCAGTCTTGGGGTTGTGCCACTGGTACAGGTCCTCAATCACCTGCGAGAACTGCTTCTTGGTCTCCTTGTGCAGGTTCGAGATGGCGATACGCGCAGCAAGGATGGCCCAGTCAGGGTGCATGGGGGAGAGCGCGGCAGCGGTCTCAGCAGCAAGATTGTCGAGCTCGACAGTGGTCTGATGGGGTCAGCTCTAGGGTCCGGTGGCGGGCCAAGGGCGTGGCACTCACAATGTAAGGGTGGATACCCTGGACGACTTTTTGGGTGATGATCGCGGGCTCGACAAAGTTAGTGTCGAGACCGTACGACAGCTTGTTGATACGAGCAGTGACCTAGATGTTAGTTGTCTGGTTCTTTGGTTGTGTTGTTGATGCGTACCTTGTCGAACGCGACTGTTATTGTCAGCATGGACCTCTCTCATTTTGACGCGTCGCGTCAGACGCGCGCAGAGAAAAACTCACCAGGCTCCTTGCGGCCGTCACGCTTGTAAATCCACATAACCATGCTGGGCAGAGGCAATGAGGAACACGTTAGATAAAGATACAAGTGGTGCTCTTCAGAGCTGGTTGAAAGCTGCGTAGGACGTCAGTCTGAGTACGCGCGTGACGTCTAAGCCATCACCGATGATGACGATGACCATGAGCGACCACTCACAAGTTACAGCCCGCTGTGCAAGGTGAAGGGGAGCAAGAAATGTGCAGGGGTGCGACAGCAGCGTTGCCAGTGCGTGATAGTGCTCTGAGCTAGCTGGTAACTGGTGCGATAGGAGATGAAGAGAAATGAAGAAGGGGGAATGGGTGCGAGAGCCAATATACCGCGTCGTCCAAACATGGGCTACGCGTCTGACTCATCCCAGCTTTTGGTCACGTGATGAACGGAACGGCCGTGTTTGTGGTGCGCTACGGTCCGTTTGTTGTGTTTTTGTGGCGCTTATGTGAGTGGCACTAATAAAGAAAACACGTACACGCGCCTTCTTTCATCAAAAATCAATGTAATTTGGCCCCGACGCGTCGGGGTCCACCAGACGCGCAGACCGCGCCCCTACATGGCTGTACATGATTTGATCTGATTCCTTCGCGTCGCGCGCCTCTCCCCCCTCTTCCTCCACTCTCATTCAGCCAGCCACTCAGGTCTGACAAAGACAATTCGACCAATGTCATCATAGGCCCACCTTCAAGCCTCTAGCCGCGGCGGACAACTGCCCACTCCCCTGAGCTCAGACTGCACAGCTCAAGCGTTGAATCGTGGGGCTTGGGGCGACTGCGACGGTCGTCATGTTCCCATACCACTCAGGAAAGACCGCTGGTAACGCGCGAAGCTGACCGAGCCACACCGTAATGTTGACAGGCGCGTCGCGTCATGACCAGTAATGTTGGAGGAGGCTCGTGTTCGTGTAGTGAACGGCCCCTTGTAAATATTATGTCTACTGTCGCTGTCACGAAGTGAGCTTTGGCTGACGCTGCCAGACCTTTGCATGTACTTGTCCGCTGTAGCCCCATATATGCAGTCCGCATGAGCGAGTGACACGAGCTCAGATGGCCTGGACGACCGAGCAAGATCTGGCGTCGGGACCTGGGGCATGATCCGCCCTCTTGCTTTATCTGATAAGGCAGCCCACATCTGTCGCTCTTCTTCGGCCGAAGAGTCTGCTTGGCGACTGCAGCACACCTGATCTAACGTGTGAGGCGCTCCCCAGTCTGTGCGTTTGCCTGTCATGGTAGCAATCAAAATTGCACCCGCTGCATTATCTGATAAACGGTCGAGCCACGTAAAGCAGCGCAGAGCCGTCTTGCCGTCCCCCGGCTGACACCTCCGATCGGAACAGAACTGGACTTAACATCAGACCTCGCCATCTGCAGATTTACGATCTTCGATGCTCTCAGAATCTTTTCTGGGGGGAGTGGAGGCAGCAATCGAGGTTTCCAGATCGCCCTCCAACCTCGGTACGTTGGGGATCTGAGAGGAGATCCCATTACGAAATGAATTAGAGGACACCAGCAAACCGGTAAACGGCGGTGCTGTGGATTGGTGGGGAAGCTGGATTGCGATCAGAAGTTCAGAGCTTACCACCTCATCGTTAACGTTGTGCCCCGTAGCCGGGTGACGGATGGCACGAGTCATATTGCTGGATCGAAAGCATAGTGATTATGGCACCGCTGCCCAGCTTGCAGCTGACTTACCTTATGCGAGTACTGGTACCCCCACATATAGAACCAAATGCTTGGACCGTACTCTCTTCGCAATATCTGACGACGGTGTCGCCACTGGGCACCATCGCTTGGTTTTACCGCCTCATTCCTTGTTGCGTGGTGGAGGTCGATCGGCCTCCGCCGAAGTCGCCGAGGTCACAGACGCGATACCCACGACATGGTTCTCCCATCCTGCCAGCGACTTTCAGCATCGTACACTATCTCACCACTGCCTTACTGACCGCCATGCCTGCCATTCCTCCCGGATCCAAGGTTCTCGTCACCGGCGCCTCTGGCTACATCGCCGCGTGAGTTGCGGAGAGGGGATAACACTGACGTCAGTCACACGGTCAAGGCCTTCCTCGACGCTGGCTTCCCCGTCCGTGGTACCGTCCGCTCAAAGGAGAAGGGCGAGTACCTCTCCAAGCTGTTCAAGGACTCCAAGACCCCCTTCGAGTACACTATCGTCGAGGACATTGCTACTGTGAGTGGACTACCGGGGTAGATGGCCGAATGAGGTGTCTTCCTCCGAATGGAGTGCCTTCTCTGCGACCGTTCCCATGTCCTTTCCAGCTGTTGCTAACCTCAGCCTGGCGCTTTCGACGATGCGGTAAAGGGTGTTGTCGGTGTTGCGCACACCGCTTCGCCTTTCCACTTCCGTGCCGACGACCCGAACGAGCTCATCACCCCTGCTGTTCAAGGGACTCTGGGCGTTATTGAGAGCTTGAAGAAGAACAAGTGAGCTATCTGAACAAGTCAAACCTAACAGCAGCCCTGACGCCAAGCGCGTCGTCATCACCAGCTCGGTTGCTGCCGTTGTTGACGACAGTATTCCCAAGCCCCACCGGTGAGTTCTGGGTGACCCCATGCGCTGACAGGTCAGCTTCGACGAGAGCAGTAAGCATCAGTGAAGGAGCCGCAGCTAGTTCTGCAACTTAACTGACGACAGACTGGAACCAGTTTTCTCTGGATCAGGTCAAGGAGAAGGGCCGCGACTCCGCTGCTGGTGACAAGTACCGAGGTAGGCTACAGAGTGTGCCAAGTTGACTGACGATCAGCTAGCAAGACTCTTGCCGAGAAGGCATTCTGGAAGTTCATCGAGGACAACAAGCCCAGCTTCGACGGCGCCACCATCAACCCGCCTCTTGTGAGCCAATGGTCTCGTGACTCAGCTGACTTTAGGTTCTGGGTCCTCTCATCCAGGACGTTAAGAGCCCTAAAGACGTCAACGAGAGTGCCTGTAAGAAGCTTTGAAGGTCACGGGATACTGACAACAGCTAACATCCTGAATTGGTTCACTGGCAACAAGACCGAGGCCGACATTCCCGACAAGGCCGTCTACAACTGGGTCGACGTCCGCGACGGTAGGCACATCTGCTGCCTGTGACAACCGATGCTAACCTCAGTCGCTCTCGCTCACGTTCGCGCCCTGACTGTCCCCCAGGCTGGTGGCAACCGGTTCATCACCGCCAACGGCATCACTTCGCCGGATGACTGGGTCCTCGTGAGTCTTTTCCCGCATTATACGACGACCGCACTCGGTACGCTAACAAGACTTAGACGTTCGCGAAGCACTTCCCTGACCGCAAGTCGTTCCCCAAGGGAGACGCCTCGAAGCGCGATGAGATCAACTCGCACGCCAACATCTTTGATGGGTCCAAGACGAAGAAGGTGCTCGGCATCGACTACATTGACCTGGACAAGTCTGTATATGACACGACCCAGAGCCTCGTCGACCGTCTCAACGTCTAAGCCTCGGTGGCTTGAGAAGAGTCTCTGACAGGAACGGGGGAACAACGGGCCAGGCCCGGCTGTGAGGAACGTCCGCTCCCGCTCCACAAGACTGCCAAGAGGCTTAGAGGAAAAGTAGAGTCCAGAACAAAGAGGCTAGACCGTGTAGCGCTAGGCTGACTGGGCTCTTGTCATGTTGTTAAAAGTGTAACCGAAGATGCAGACATGGCATAGGCACCGCTAGCGCAAAGGAAGGTCAGGACTGACTGGCGTCGGCGCTGCGATGTCGGGATTAGCGGTGTGAATGTAAATGATGATTAGAAGATTAGGCTAGGATCGCTAAGGAAATGCCCTGCGGCGGAGCTATTTGCGGCCCACGTTCGTTTTCTGACATTGGACAATCTGTCGGCACTCTGCCAGACGTGCTTGCTCACCTGACCGATCGCCCAACCCTTCATCCACCCAACAGCCAGCCTGCGCCGACATCCAAGCGACCTCAACTCAGGTCCCAATCGACATCCTCCCATCGACAATTCACACCTTCACTCTTTTCTCCGTACCCAAAGCTCTCGCGTGATCACGTCCTTTCCATCGATAAAGGACCGCCAGAACCCCCCCGGACTGGCGCGCGCGACCGTTCATCCACCTCCCCTCCACTCCTTTGTAGCCCACCCTGCTGCCCAATCTTTCTCGCTTTCTTGGTAACTGGCACAGGCTCGGCGACAGACAAGTCCGTCTAGACGAAGACCTTCGAGACGGCATCCCTCTTATCCCGCTTGGCGAGCTTCCCTATCTCTCCGACGTTGGCGACCAAGCAGGCGCAGCACACGAAACTTGGGCCTGGTACAGCGACAGGCTCGCGCAGACCGGCGACAGAATGAAATTCGGGTGAGTGCAACGCCGCAAAGTCTTGGGAATATCGCGCTGACCTTGCCAGTACTCTCCTCGAGCTCAACTCGAACGTCGAGTGGTGGGACCACTATGTCGAGTGAGTCCACGCGGCGCCAAGCCTTTTGCGGCCCGCAGCAGCGGCAACCATTCTGACCCTCCTCAGCTACGATCAACTGAAGAAGCTCTTCCCCTCCGTCCCCCTCGACCCCGACTACCTCGCAACGCAGCAGCATGGTGAGCAGGGGTCGCTGCTCCCGTCCAACCGGCCCCCGAAGAAGTTTGCGACGCCGGATGAGTTCCGCGCCGCCTTAGACCGGGAACGCAACAAGGTCGCGACTTTCTACGAGCAGAAGCTCGAGGAGCTGCGGCAGCAGGAGGCCGACCTCGAGGCAGAGGTGCGTCAGATTGAGGACCGCGAGTTCCACGGCGACACTGTGATCTACGAGGAAGGCGAGTGGGACACAAACGAACGTGATCCCTTAACGAGCAGCCAGCTCAGCAGCGGGGGCGGATCGCCGACCAACAGCATGCACCGCCCCGGCAACCGGAAACGCGGATCGATCTTCGGGCGTCTCCCCGGGATGGGACGAGCGAGCGTTAGTGGCGACCACGCCGACATCTTCCAGAGTACGCTTCCCGCGCAGGTCCGAACGACGGAGGGCCGCCGCCGATCGATCGCGTACGCCGAGGAGGGAGAGGTCTCGCCGGGCACGCGGACCAAGCTGCTGCCTCCTACCCGCGGCCGCGCGCTGTCTGAGGTGTCGAGCGCGGATGATCCTCGCCGGCAATCGTTCAGCACGCTGTCTTCCGCCGGCAACTGGCGCCAGTCGCTGTCGATCCACGGGCACAATTTGGGCCTCGTGCCGATGAACCCGAGCGCGTACCCGGAGTGGCTGAAGGAGGAGGTTGCGCGCGATGAGGAGGCGATCGGACTCGCGCCAGGAGACTATTACAATTGGACGGGCAACGCCGACTACGCGACTGTGCTGCGCATCGGTTTCAAGAAGCGCATTTCGGCACTGTGGCTCGACCTGTACGCCCTGAAGCAGTATGTCGACCTGAACTTTACCGCGTTCGAGAAGATCCTCAAGAAGTACGACAAGAACACGAACAACAAGCTGAAGAAGGAGTACATCCAGGAGAAGGTGCTTACGACGTACCCTTGGACGGATGAGGCGAAGCGTGAGCTCGACTTGCTCCTGAACCGGACACTCTTCCTGTATCGCCGCGTTGTTGTTGCAGGCGACGAGGAGCTGGCGAAGGAGCAGCTGCGCGCGCAGCTGCGTGAGCGCATCGTTGTCGACCGCGAGACGGTGTGGAGCCAGATGGTGTCCGACCGACGAGGCCAGGGTATTTTCCGTTCCGTCGAGCCGGATGAGCAGCTGCCTGCGTTCGAGCAAACGCGACCCGGGATCCGAACCCCGTGCGGTCGCATCCATCTGCCAAAGTGGCTCTCCATGCGCGGCCTCATCTTCTGCATCGCTGTGTTCGCACTCGTCGCGACCGTCATCCTCCAGCCTATGGACCGTGTCGAGGAGTCGAACTGTCTCGCGCTGCTGCTCTTCTGTACGATCCTATGGGCATCCGAGGCGATCCCGCTTTTCGTCACGAGTTTGGCCGTGCCATTCCTTGTCGTCGTGCTGCGCGTCCTTCGGTCGGATGACGGCGAGGACAAGCGTCTCCCGGCCTCCGACGCCACCAAGTACATCTTCAGCCAGATGTTCAGCCCGACGATCATGCTCCTCATTGGTGGTTTCACCATCGCCGCTGGCCTCTCGCGCACGCGCATAGACCACATGACTGCGTCCCGCGTCTTGACCGCGGCGGGCAGCAACCCGTCCTTCGTCCTGCTCGTGCTCATGTTCGTCGCTTGCTTTGCGTCGATGTGGATCTCCAACGTCGCCGCGCCTACGCTTTGTTACGCCCTCGTTCGCCCGATCCTCGACGAGCTCCCGCCCAAGAGCGTCTTTAGCAAGTGTCTCATCATCGCTATCGCCCTTGCGTCCAACATTGGCGGACAGGCGTCCCCCATCTCGTCGCCGCAGAACCTGATCGCGCTCGGCGCCATGGTCCCCGAACTTTCGTGGCTGCAGTGGTTCGCCATTTCTCTGCCCGTTGGCACAGCCTCGATCATCGCCATCTGGGCCTTCCTCCACCTCAACTACAAGTGGGAGCCGGAGCTGCGCATCCCGCGCATGCGCAAGAACACTGACGCAATGACAATGAAGCACTACTTTGTGCTTGTCGTGACACTGTTCACAATTGCGCTCTGGTGCGTCGAGAAGAGCTTCGAGTCCACTGTCGGCGACATGGGCATCATTGCCATCATCCCCCTCATCGCCTTCTTCGGCACGGGCATTCTGCGCAAGGAGGACTTCCACGACTTCCAGTGGCCGATCGTGTTCCTGGCCATGGGCGGTGTCGCGCTCGGCAAGGCCGTGCTCTCCTCCGGCCTCCTGGAGAGCATGGACAAGTACCTCGAGCGCATGGTCGAGGGCATGGGGCTGTACAGCATTCTGGTCGTGTTCTGCGCGATTGCGCTCGTCATCGCGACGTTCATCAGCCACACGATTGCCGCCGTGCTCCTCGTGCCCATCGCGAGCCGCATCGGCGAGAACCTCGCCGACCCCCACCCCCGCCTCCTCATCATGGCCACTGCGCTCATCTGTAGCGCGGGCATGGGCCTTCCTGTGTCTGGATTCCCGAACATGACTGCCATCACGCAGGAGAACAAGCTCGGACACCGCTTCATCAACGCAAACGACTTCCTCCGCAACGGCATCCCCGCCTCGATCCTCGCCGCGTTCATGATCGTCACCCTCGGATACGCCATCATGCGCGCTCTGGGCATGTAACTTGCCTTCTAATTCTTGTGACAGTGAAAAGACCTTAGACAGAGGAGAGAGGGGGAGAGTTAGAGATAAGCCAAGCTAGAGAATTCGATTATCATGTCATGCCACCTATGCACACTTCTAAGTCAAGTCTACAACCGCGCCGCTCAGCATGACCCAGGTCTCGAGCCATGTCTGTCCGTTGACGGCTACCAGCTCGCCGACGGCCTCAGCCACATGACAGGGATGCACGCTCCAGCATCCCTGTCCCGTGATGGGGTGTTCGGCGAACTGGAGCAAGGGGAACGTCTGGTCGGTCGGTAAGTAGACCGCGTCTTGCGTTATTGTCGGTGCGGCGACTGTCTCGGCCCCTTCTGTCGACGAGGAAGAGGAAGTGGGGAGGGAAAGTAATGGAAGGAGTTCGTCGAGCAGTAATGGCGCCCCGGCTGGTCGTCAGCTCATATCTGGCTTAGTAAGCTCACCCTCATCCCATGTACGAATGTAGAGTTGCGGGACGGCATATGTCGGACTCCGGAGGACTGTGTACTCGGTATGCACCCGTCTATGCGAGGGACGCAGCGCTGCGTCGTCTTCCTCCTCTTCTTCTAGACCCTCGCTTTCTCCCTGCGCTCCTTGTTGCCCGGAACCAGAGGAGGAAGGGATGGGGAGGAGATGTGTCGATGTCTTGATGAGGTATCCCTGGGACGTGTACTGTTGTCAGCTCGCTGACAGACGAAGAGCTCACCTGTCCATGTCAGCTTCAACGCGCTGGGGATTTCTCAGCTTACCTGTCGTCAGCTTTTTACTCGTGAATGTCTAGCTCACCTGTCCCGGTCAGCTAAGCGCACCTCCCGCTAACCTGGACATGCCTGCTGTCAGCTTCAGGTTAAACGTGGAAACCCAGCTCGGTCCTCGTCTACAGAACAGTACAGAAGAGACGGACGTACCTGTTTTCAGCTGCGTGTAAGTGATTAGGAAAGCTCACCTGTCGCTGTCAGTTCGCAGTGCGGAGCACGAATGCTGCACATACCTGTTGTTAGCTATCCGCCGAGTTTCCACAGCCGAGCTGCAGGTCAGCCTTCCGTTAGAGATAGCGAGCTTACACATCGAAGACGGATGAGCTTATAGTGTCAGCTTGTGCGCTAGTTACCGGAGCTCACCTTCTAGCCTGGGTTACCATCCCTTCGCCTTCAGACATCGTCCCACACCTCAACTGACGTACCTGCTGTCAGCTAAGGCAGCTCGCAGCAAGCTGCCCGAACACAGTCCCGGCGCTGCGGCGAAGATCCGCACCTCTACATCAGCTGAGTGACGTGATGACCCCAGCTTACCTTTGTTCTGTGTTCCCTCCACTCCCAGCCAAGGTACGCCCTCTGCCTTGGCAACAGCGGTTCGAAGCCGGCGTACTTCTCCAAGAAGGCGGCGCAAGCTTCTTGGAACGCCGCCTCGCTTGGACAGGGCTGCTCCATCAGTATCACTGCTTGAAAGGGAAGTTGGCTGTGTGTCCAAAAATTAGAGGATGGAGAATGGAGAGGAAGAGAGAGAGGGCTTCACGGAAGGGAAGGAAGGACATAGCGCAGTGATCGACGGTCATGACGTTTCGCGGAAGAATGTCGGAAATACTTGTTTGTGCTGACCCGAACGCCTGGCCGCCAGGTCGAGGGAAGGATGTAGACACGTCCCAATATGCACGCCACAGGCAGAATGCGAAAGCTGGCCATTGACGCACACGCACATGCATATCTATGGAATGAGATGGGGCTACGTAACCTGCACTGTATCACTGTATCTGCTAATCTACAACACCTGCTTCACACACTACTCACAAGGACTCCGGCTCAATCCTTCGGCTCAGGCTGCACACCAACCCAACGGCGCTTCCCATCCGTGTCATCAACATAAGCACCTCCGTCCTCGGCCCAGCTCTTCATGACCTCGGCAATCTCCTTCTCAGCGTCCTGCAAATCCTCGATCTCGGCCGCCGTCAACTCGTGCTGCGGTACGCGGAGCACCATGAAGTCGCGTGCGGGCACGGCCAGCTTCAGGTACCGCTTGTGCTCGCCGTTGGCACTGGTGTCGACGTCCGAGATGTCGACGCCGTTAACACTCGCCGGGCGGCTCACGCCGTTCTCAGACGCTGGTGGTCCGCCGAATTCTTCGGGACAGTCGGGGCGGTTCCACTCCATTGAGACCTGGTTCGCGAGCGACTGCATGATCAAGCGCAGGTGCAGTTCCGAGCTGTCTAGCGGTCCGGGCGGTACGTTGCCCGCATGCGCGTCGGCTGCTGTTGTCGGGTATGGGAACTGTGACGTCGGCCCGAGCAGCGACGGATACGGGTCGTTCGACAAGTAGTGCGGAGACGGGAACCTGGGGGTCAGCTTTCCTCATTCAGCATCTAAGCTGAACACTCACATTGCCGAGAAGTGGTTGACAGCAACGCGGCGCGCATTGATCCTCGCAGCAAACTTGCCAACGTCTTCTGGCGTAGCGTGTCCGCGCGAGTTGGCCTTCTCCCTGACTTGACGCTTCTTGTCCTCGAACTCGTCCAGACGCTGGACCTTCTCCTCGTCTGTGCAGTTCTTCCCGTGGAAGATCCACGGCTCACGCGTAACACCGCGGTCCTTGGCCGCACGCTCGAACTGCTTGTCGCGCTTCCGCTCCAGACTTTGCTCGAGCTGTGAGGCACGCACCTTCCGTCCCTTCTCGCCCTTGCCCACGCTCTCGGGGATCGCCGCGTTCGTGCACTCGTGTACCAGCAGCGAGGCGTCTGAGCACATCCGCTCGAAGACCTTGTTCGGCGTACCTCCCGAGCAGTCACCGAAGATGACGATCTTCCGCCCAGGCTCACCAGTCGGCTCAGGCGGGTACAGCACCTCGCCGGATGGTAGCTTGTATGGTGGCGGAGTGGGCAGGCTGTTCAGGTGTGACAAGATCGAGAATGGGTGCTTCACCGGCGGGTCGAGCTTAGCAAGCGCTTCTGCATTGGCCTGCAGAATCGGCATGAGCTTTGCCGTGTCCAGAGCATGACGAGGAGCCGGCTCCTGTAACACATATCCGAGTGACGGCACTAGATGTCATTAGTACTGCTGGTCGCGTGACATGATAACACCCGATAACACTCACCTCGGTGTCGCAGTGGGCCAGCTGAGACGCTCCAACCCTTCACGCCCTTGTGGCCACTCTCATCGATGAAGTGAGGCCACACGCCGTCCTGGTTTGGGTAGAGATCACGACCGACAGCCTCGTTGATGTGTAGGTCGACTTCCTTACACCCGATGCTTGGCTCTTCCCCGACCTGAATGAGCTCATGCACAGCATAAACTCCCGCCAGCGTAATCTTCGTCAGATTCAGCTGGTTTCGAATGAAAGAGCGTAACCCAGCTGGTCCATAGATGTTCAGGTCAGGCTGAAATGATGTCAGCTTGTGACGCGTGCCGAGCCGTGCGGCCCACATACCTTCTTGTGCAGACCCGCCTCTCGTAGCCGTTGCAGGCCTTGCTCAGTCTGCCCCACGCCACTCATGATGACTGCCATGATGGCGACGATGCCGAGTACATGGTCAGCATGCATGTGGGTGATGAAGATCCGCGAAATGTTGCCCATACGCAGGTTAGACTGATGTAGTCGGTTGTTGGTCCCATCGGCTGTATCGAAAACTACAACGGTCAGAGGGGTCGGCGGCGATCAACGGGGTGACTCACTCCAGATGTTGTTCCCGAAGTCGACAGCGAGCGACGAGCATTGGCGACTCTTAACGGGACCACCGCCTGAATGTTAGCCGAAGCGCGACTTGCTTCTGTTGCGCGTGAGCTCACCTGAACAAGTGCCAAGCTGCAGTGATCGTCAGCATCCGCTCCGAAGGATGAATCGGTAAACTCACGAACTGAACCGAGACGGGTGGTGGAGCCTTGTGTCTGTGAAGGCCAGGTGACTGGCACCTCACAGGTTGCCTCGAGGGGGGCACGAGGTTGTCGGCTAGGGATAGTCTGTCCATGTTGAGACACGACAGACGACGACGAAGGGGATGGGGAAACAGCAAAGTTCGGTCGACTCGGGTCATGCTCATGAGCAAGCATCATGAGCCCGATAGCCGGGCAAGCCGAGCGGAGGCGGAGCCGCGGAGGTGCGCCAGGCACGGGTAATCTAAGTCGCGTGGGTGTCGCGCGAGCATGAGTCTTTTAGGCGCGGAAGCTATTCCATGACGTTTAGAATAGGCGCGGAAATTCATCCACCGCAAATTTCAAGTCCTCGACACTGGAGATTTCGACGGCCTGTCACACCTCCGTCCCAAGTTACCTGTCGAGCTCATCCACCTCCCCCATCCCGACAACCAGCGCGGACACATCGCCAGGTTAGCTTTTGTTCGCCCCCTCTTCGACTTTGCGGAATCGGCTACCGGCTCTCACACCAAAAATGTCGGGCTCCCTCACCCACGTCCTCTTCGAGGGCGCCTCTGGTTACTGCCTCTACGAGGTTAACCTGCAGGAGGAGATCGCTGCGCGCTCGAAGCAGCTCCAGGACTCCATCAACGACTACAACACCTTCAACCGCATGGTGTCCCTCGCCTCGTTCCTCCCCTTCACTTCGGCTGCTCAGGCTCTCGAGAACGCCAATGATGTTTCGGAGGGTATTCTCAACCCTCACCTCAAGTCGCTTCTGACGATGATCATCCCCAGCGAGGGTGCCAAGGGCAACAAGAAGCAGAGCCCTGTTGTTCTCGGTGTTTCTGAGCGTGGTCTCGGTGGTGCTATCCAGGGCGAGCTTGGCATCCCCTGTGACACCTCCGAGCGCGCTCTCGAGCTCATCCGTGGTGTCCGCCTTCACCAGGACAAGTTCCTCGCCAAGGAGGGCCTTGAGAAGGGAGACGTTACCACCGCCCAGCTTGGTCTCGGCCACTCCTACTCCCGTGGCAAGGTCAAGGTTAGTTGAAGCTATTCGACGGCGTGAGATGAAGCGCTAACCCCTTTTCAGTTCAACGTCAACCGTTCGGACAACATGATCATCCAGGCCATCTCCCTGTCTGACCAGATGGACAAGGACCTCAACACCTTCTCGATGCGCTGCCGCGAGTGGTACGGATGGCACTTCCCCGAGCTTTACAAGCTCGTTCCCGACGCTCACCAGTACGCCAAGCTCGCCGTCCTCATCGGCGACCGTGCTACCCTTACCGAGGACTCGATTCCTGAGATGCAGGAGATCCTCGACGATGACGAGACCCGCGCTCGCAACGTTCTTGACGCCGCCCGTGCCTCTATGGGATCTGACATCTCCGAGGTCGACCTCATGAACATCTCCACCTTCGCCGAGCGCGTTGTCCAGCTCGCCGAGTACCGCCAGTCGCTCCGCCGCTACCTCGTTGAGAAGATGAGCATCGTTGCCCCCAACCTCTCGGCTCTCATTGGCGAGACGATTGCTGCCCGTCTTATCTCGCACGCCGGATCGCTTACCAACCTTGCCAAGTACCCCGCTTCGACCGTTCAGATCCTTGGTGCCGAGAAGGCTCTCTTCCGTGCCCTGAAGACCAAGGGCAACACGCCCAAGTACGGACTGATCTACCACTCCAGCTTCATCGGCCGTGCCGGCCCCAAGCACAAGGGACGCATCTCTCGTTTCCTCGCCAACAAGTGCTCGATCGCGTGCCGCATCGACTGCTTCTCGGACGTCCCCACCTCCAAGTTCGGAGAGGCTCTCCGCAACCAGGTTGAGGAGCGCCTCAACTTCTTCGAGACTGGTGCCCCCGTCTCCAAGAACTCGGATGCCATCAGCAAGGCCCTGAAGGCGATCGCCGAGGACCTCGACGACGAGGACGACGATGAGGACGAGGAGATTGACGACGTCGAGCTCTCCGAGGCCGTCAAGCAGGTCACCAAGGACCAGGAGGAGGCTGCCAAGAACCGTGGACCGATGGACCCCGAGCTCTCCAAGATTGCCGCCGGCGCTACGTCAACGCCGTCCAAGAAGGAGAAGAAGGACAAGAAGGACAAGAAGGAGAAGTCCAAGGACAAGGAGTCCAAGAAGGAGAAGCGCAAGCGCGAGGACTCTGACGACGAGGACGAGGAGAAGAGGCGGAAGAAGGAGAAGAAGGAAAAGAAGGAGAAGAAGGAGAAGTCCAAGGAGAAGAAGGAGAAGAAGGAGAAGAAGTCTAAGAAGTAAGCGTATTCTCTTCCCATTTGTCATGGTTCTCTAGGTTTGTCTTCTCTTTTTGTCCGGATATCATCGCATCCTGCGTGGTGGGAGGCGGGGAAGGATGGTCCTCGGGCAGGGGAGACATGCTTCTCGCCCCGGACTGTTGATATCTTGACACTATCTCCAATAGATCTGAACGATGCCGAACTGTCAACTACTTGACACGGCGTTCATCACCCGCTCCCTTCATCATCCATCCCATTCCACTCCATACCTCACTCTACCCCTACGTGGCTCGTCCATGGTGTACTACTGGCTTCACTTGCTATGCATTCGCATTCCCGGAACGGTCTCATGCTTCTTCGAGTGCTTCCCGAACTCGGTATGCCTCAGTTAGCAAAGTTTCGACGATCGTACAGGGCCAGGTCCCACGTCAGGCACCGCTGATGTCAACCAGCATTTCGTGACGGAAGCAAATCCACGCGACCACGCGCCTGACTTGACGGCAACATGAGCGTCAACACAGCCAGAACCTGTCAACAACAACATTTCCAAGCAGCCATGGTGAGTAGGAGGTGCACCGCCTAACCGTGGCGCGATAGCTACCTCATGATCTTCAGTGCGGTGGTGATCTTTAAGTCGCGGCTGGCCTCCTTGCAGTGCCGCTATGATGGAGCGCATCGGGCGGAGCCAAACAAACAGCGGCCGAGGAAGGCGATACAGCACCCAGTGCGCGTCGCAAGTGCCAAGCAGCTGCGCCGAGCTGAAGAGTTGAGCTGACACAACAGTCGAAAGTCGCAGCCCTCGGACGCGGATTGCCGTCAACGCTGAACCGTGCGCCCGCGCAGCGCGAGCCCTCTGGAGCCGCGTACACCATGTTCACCCCGCAGCAGGTCAAGCAATTCAAGGAGGCGTTCAATATGATGGACCAGGACGGCGACGGCCGCGTCGATGAGAAGGATTTGCGGGCGATGTTGACGAATCTTGGTGAGTTCCGGCATCACCTCTCCCTCCCGCTGTGCCTGCACTCAGTCCTTCACCCTCGCCACCCAGATCTGGATCGATAGCCTGGCTGTAGGGGCGCGACTTCCTGAGACAGGAGAAACTGCTTTGCAACGCTTCGCCCAGCTAACAATCAGGCCAAACTCCCACGCCGACGCTGCTTGACGGCCTTCTCTCGTCGCGACCTGGCGGCGCGGCCGCAACCGACGAAGAGAAGGCGTCAGGCATCAACTTCACTCAGTTCCTCGCTATGATGGGCGAGCGTCTCCTGTCGCTGGACGAGGAGCACGACATGCTCGAGGCGTTCGCTTGCTTTGACGACGGTGACAAGGGCTACGTCATGGTCGACGAAGTTCGGCCAGTGCTGAAGGAGATGGGTGACCGCATGACGGACGAGGAGGTGAGAGTTACAGCTAATTCTCAGCTCGGAACAAAGCTGACACCAGATCGACCGTCTGTTCTCAGGCCCCTTCACGGACCGCCAAGGTCGCTTCAATTACGTCGAATGGGCCAAGGTGCTCCGTGTCAACGACGGTGAGCCGGAACGCGAAGACGCCATCCAGATGTAAATGTCCCTCTGTCCTTGTAAGATCTCAATGCAGTTTGTATGATACATGCCTATGAACAATGATATGTCACAACTCGGCGCTCGTCCACGCACCGAGCGCTTCCCTCATGCTATCTAGCTTCCACACCTGCGACTCCGGGCAGCTCGGTGCTTCGGCATGGTCGCCTAACCATGGTGGAGTCGTCTTCAAGAAAGCTTCCACTACAGCCCGAGTACGCAGCTCCAGGGCGTCCAAGGTCGTGTTCGCGCTCGCGGCGCGCTGGCGGAGCGCCTCGAGCAATGCCAGAGGCGGAACATTCTGGCGCAACAACTGAATAGCGAGTGCCTGGGCAGCCGTAGGCTGTACAGCCTTGCCCAGGAAGTAGTTGCGCACGTTGACGTCGCGTCCTGATCGATGGTGGCTGCCGGCGTCTTCCTCTGCAAACTTGCGCTCCAGCGCCTGGATGAAGGGCTGGCGCAATAGGGGGTGCCTCCTGTCGGTAGCGTACTTATCGAACAAAGCCGAGCAGTAGAAGCGAGACAGGAAGCTCAGCTGTGTGAGATGCTCTACTGAGAGAGGGCCAGGCTTGGCGAGCACCATAGACAGGTAGCTGCTGATGATTTCCGGCTTGTCTAACGAGATGCACTCGAGCAGGACTGAGCGCAAGAAGGTCTCGAACGTAGAGTCGCCCGAGAATTGTTGGGCCATCATAACGTAGACTGGATTGTCCGCGTGCGCTTCGATGACCGAAACAACCTCGGAGACTGGCGGCTGCAACGGCGCCGCAGGGGATAGAAGATCGTAGTGCAAGTCGAAGCCCGACATGGTGCCTGCTCTGACGAACATGGATCGGTAGCCACGCGGATCGTCGGAATAGTCCAGGAAGCCCGCCTTACGCTTGACCCAGATCGTTCGAGTTTGTACCAGACTCGCGCGATGATGCTTGTTGTCCAAGTTGAGCTGTACAGGCCAGTACCGCGGGGAGTCGACAATGATGGTCTCGATCATCTCGAAGGGAGCGACGAGTGTGGGCGAGATTAAGCTCTGATCTCCCTCATGACCACGAGTCTTAACCTTGATCGGGAGGAAGATCGATTCCTGCGTATCGACATCGCGCGCAATGAGACAACGCGGCTCGACGGCCAATGCCCAAAGGTGTCGGAATGCCTGGGGGTAGGCTTTGTTATCGCTCGGCCCAGGAAGGAATCGGGGGAAGAATGAGATGGCCATGGCAGCGATGGCCAGGTTGGAGTTTCCCAGCGTGTAGTATCCACGGCCGAGGAAGAGCAGACCAAGCGCCATGTGCATGGCCATATGAGAGCCATACGTGACTCCAGCACCTTCCTGACCGTGGCTGACACGCAGACGGCGAAGCACTCCAAGCTCGCCGGTACCGCTCATCAGGACGGCCAGTGCCAGAGTGACGATATTCAGAGCCTGTCGGGCGGCGTTGCGTCGGATGCGACCCTCGTAGGTCATGCTTTGGCCGGCAGCAGCCTTGCCTAACACACCAAAGAATGTTAAGATGACCGAGTGGGCGGCTTCATTGGCCGTGCTGGCGTATCGCAGACCGATGCCGAGACAAGCTCCAGCGACAATGTTCAGGTAGGCGAGTTCGGTGTTAAGCTCCATACCACTGGTGCGCTTGTGCTTGTGGTGCAGAGACTGGATGAACGCTGGAAGCTGCTCGTCGACCCACTCCATGGTACCTTGGACATCATTCCACATGATGAGTGAGCGGGCGAACGTGCGAATAAGCAGCTGCTCCGGCCGCACGCTTTCGAGCGCAATTGGGGTCTGCGGAACCTCCAAGATATCAGCTATGTCCTTTCTTCCGGTCCGAAGGTACATGAGACCCAAAGCCAGCGTCGCTCCCGGGGATGTGATCGTGGAATCGATATATCGGTGTTTGCGCTTCTCGGGTAAGCCGTCGATGCTCGGAGCTTCACCATGGATGCAGGGCATGAGCTTGGCAAGGAACTGACGCTCCGTCTCACTGCTCGTTTGACCTCCTTTTCCGAGATTGATCAGACCAAACGCCATGGCGGCACTGAAGCTGTATGCTTCCTTGTACTCGCTGAACCCATCGACGCCTGGCATCTCGTCACGGCCAATTTCATTCAAGGTCACCTCGGCCATTCGGTGGTTCTTCTTCCCAGCGTACACCAGTCCGAGAGAAACGAGCGCAGCAGATTGCACCAGAGCCGACTGGTTGAGGTCCATCGAGCCCAGCGGGAGGAGTGCATGGGTGTGCAGAGACAGCATTTTCGTGACCATCGTGTCGGTAGACCCAGCGAAGGACGCACCGAGTCCGAGCAACAGCCCGATAGATGTGAAATCGTGACGGGGCTCCAGGTAAGTCAGAGCATGGACTGATCCAAAAGTACGCAAGTGGCCTTTCAAACCTAGGCCAAGCAGGAATCCACCATGCTCAGACGTGAATGTCTTCGGTCGGTTAGACATGATCCACGATGCCGTGATGCCCTCGCAGTCTGGGGAGAAGGCAAGCGCAGCAGACACTCCATTGTGGAAGCACGGCCAGTCAACACAATCGTTGGCCAACTGCGCTTTAATCACCTCCTTGCGGGGAAGAACTTTGACAGTAAGCTCAATCGGCTGCACACTCCAGGTGTCGGTGATGGCCGTCGACCTCGAACCATATGTGAACATTCCTTGGCCCACAGTCACAGCCAGAGTTCGATGCGCAAGGGTGTTGACAACCTGCTGGTGGTATTGAAGTACCTCTGCTTCGCTGCAAGTCAGCTTAAACAGAACAATATAAGCTCACCTGACGCCTTTCGGATCGTCCAGAGCGACCGTGCGCAGCCTTGTGGTTTGCATGATGCGTTCCACCTCGTCCAGACGACGATCGAGGCCGAAACGGACGTGTGGCAAAGACGTGAACGACACCGCCTTCCAGTCCCCGGTGTTCTTGACGATGTCGCCAACCGTTGGCATACTATCAGACGACGCTTCTGGTCCCACCGGTAAGTCGGTCGTAATACGATCGTGGTCGTAGATGGCAGCCAGATCAGGCCGGTTGATGAACGCATAGTATGCGGGAGGCTGGTCCATGCTTGGATTGGCTTGAACGACCCGAACCATCTCCATGATGGGCATGGCAACGCCGAAGGGCAAATCTGCGAGCCAAGCTGCAGAGAGATTGCGATCCATCATCGCCGAGACCGTGCTACGTGCACGCTCTTCCACCGTAACTCCTGGCTTCGGGGAGAGCGCTTGATAGATTTCTCCAACGAGCTCGGTCTGACGCCAAGGGTCGGGCTTTCCGAGCGCCTGTGTATCTGCCAGAATGGGCATTACGAAAGGTTGAGCCGTTCCTTCTGCGACGCGAGCCAGATACTGGAGAATGTCAAGAGGCTGGCCGAGCCGCTCCAGAGTGGGTGTGGCGATTGGCGAAGCCGCTGAATGTGAGTTTCTAGACGTACATATTCACTCACGAGGCGCAAGTGTTGCTCTCTCCATTGCAGCGGGAACCAGACGCCGCCAGTAGTCGAGCCAATCTGAGCGTCCAAGCGCTGAAGCGAAGCGCATGAGAAGAGGTGCCAGAGACAGCAAATCACACTCAGTGGACGAGGCAAGGCGGCAGTCTTGGGCCACAATGTGAAGAAGCAAGAGGACCTGCTCTGCACTCGGCACTGGAGTGACCGGGCTAGCCGACGACTTGCTTTCCGGAGGCAAGCGAAGGCGCTTCGCCAAGCGATTCAACGCCGCGTCTCCACTGATGCTGGGGCTGAAGAGGATATCCTTTTTATCTGCTGAGCCGCCAAGCCCGCACTTAGAGCAAAGCACGCTGGCGAACGTGTCCCACTGGACCTCGGAGGTGAGCCGTTGCCCTTGCAGGTTGAGCAAGAAGTCTCGCAAAAACTCAGCAAACTCATTGTGAGGAAGAGCGTAGACCAATGCCTCCAGACACCGTCTTGTAAGACCGTTTGGGAGCGTGAAGTCCAGACCGAGCCGCGCCCGATCGCCATCGCTGTACACAGCTGTCACCCTTGAGTCCACCGCGTCAACGAGATCAATGATTCTCGGGTCGGTATCACTTCCAGCATCGCGCACCATACTAAGGCTGATTGCGAGTTTCCGGGCGACTTCGTCCCGGCCATCGGTCGGCACTACATTCGGGACGCCAACCGGTATCCGCGCACTGAGACCACACGTGTCAATCACCAGTTCACCATCCAAGGTAAGCACCAAGTTGTCGTATAGGGCCGGTCTAGTAGACTTGATGGGTGCTGCAGCGAGACATGGTGTTGCCTGGACCTCTGTGAAGATATACCGCTCCGAGCGCAGCTCGACGTGGAATGTGAAAAGAGTTGTGCTTCCATCGCTAGTGAGAAGGAGGTTCAAGAAGACGCTCTCCGGAGTTAGGTTCTCTGAGATGAAGACTCGAGCAGTGTCGCAATCAATTGGCCTGGTCATGTCAGCTCGAATGCCGGCAGGCCTGCTTACGAATTCGGCTTCCAAGACCATACCCGGTCGAACACAATCTCGCTTCTATCGCTCCGCTTGGCGTCCTCGTCGAGACCCATGAGCATCGTGGTCTCCCGCAGATCTTCGGCGACCATATGAAGGGCAGTCTTGGCGAAATCACCGAAGTCTGGGGCCTTGTTCGACATTCGTCGTGATCGCTCTGACGCGTTGCTGTTCCGTGGTCGGCGAGATGGTCGCTCTCCATTGGTGAGGTTGAACGAGGGAGGCTCCGTCGCAGACACGGCAAAGTCACTTCCGATGGAAAAGCGAGCAGATTTCCGGTGGGTGCGATCCAAAGGATCAGGAGCTGCCTCAGACAGTCGCCTTTCGGCTTGTGGATCTCGAGGCAGCGATATCCGGCCGCTTCGCCTTGGCCGTGAGGATGTCGCGTCCGAGAGCTCCCGCGGAGACATTTGATTCTGGGCCAAGAGCTCTTGAGGATGCAGATGACGAGCAGTAGTAGCCGGAGTCGGCAGCTCCTCCTCCTCGATCGGGATCTTGACTCGCCGGTAGAATACGATCGTGTTGTCGGCCGTGTCATAGGTGACCACGAAAGGATATGGGTTGTCAGACACGAAAAGGACATTCTGTGTCGGCGGAACAAAAGAGAGCGGAGCAGCAGGAACGAGCCTGGCGTTGTCTCCCGTGCCGTTCACTCGTCCGTCCGCGACGTACTGCATCTCGCTCATCACGTCAAGCAGAGTGTACAGTCGCGGAATGTCTGGGGTCGATTCCTCGACCTCCGCTAGGGTGTCGAGAACACTTGCGCCGGCTGCCGGTGGGAGAACGCTCCGCATAGACTTTTTGACTTCTCTGCGTTCAAGTTCTCGCTGTAAAAGCAGTCCCTGATCGAGCGGCCAGCAAGCCAGAAATCGGAAGGGAAGCTGAGCTACCACGTCTTCTCCGGTTGGGAAGTAGATGTGGGCAGTCCTCTCCCTCACGATAACCACGCAGCGCATGATTCCTCGTCTTGGCCATTCTCCTGCAGCCTGCTCCTCCCACATAGCTGTTTGGCTTGTGTGGAACGGACCGAAAGTCTCATCATTCACGCGTTTGGGCGGGTCGTCATTTGAAGCCTCGCCGTCGTCGCCGGGAGCTCGGAAGCGTGCGAAAAGCGCGTATAGAATCTGCTGGTTCTCTTGCGGAAATTTGAACCGCCTAATCAGCTCTACGCCGCGTGACCAGGTCACCTCGGTCGAGGTCCATGTCAACTGCTCATCACAGTCAACGTCGCGAGCCCAAGTGTGCCGAGGCAGTCGTGACGGACCGGGAGAGAGAGGGTCGAATTCGTGCGATCTGGCGGCGGTTAGCTCCCCGGGAGACAGTCCCAGTCCTAGGACACAGAGGCCTGGAGCATGCGGGCGGAATCGAGGAGGCAGTGGTTTTGGAAGAGGAAGGTTCGATCTGTAGTCGCGCGTAAGTCGCCAGGGTTGGTGATCGTTGTTGTTGTCTCAGGCACCATCACGTGATTCCATCTAGTGGAGGTCTATTGTTCACCATGGAGGACTATCTCCTCTACGTCTCTGATGCATGGTAATTGGAGTGCAGTGAGGGCTCGGAGAAAGACAGTTTTCATTATCATCTAGAGCTTGAGTTTCAAGCTGAGGAGTAGTGTGACTGTTGCGCTTCAAGCCGCTTGACTGATAACGAACCGATGACGTGAATGGCCGGTCGCTCAATCTGGGCCAAGCAACGCTATTCTTGGCACGACCACACCTACATCTTTCAACGTTGTTCACTCTCTCACGGCCCTAAACATGGCCCCATATCTATTCCCCTACCCCGTTCCGGGATCGGTAACGTTCTCGACGCTTCTGCTCGACCGATCGGGCACATACACTACACAGCTCGCCGAAGCGACTGTTGCTCGGACCCGGCTCCAAGCAGCTCTCAAGGCCGCCGCCGATGGTCAGCCGGGCAGCAGCGCCCTTGCAGTCCTAGAGGTAAGCTAAGCTCCTGCGATGACCTTAGCTGACTCTCAGGCTGTTCAGGTGTATCACCCCTACCTCCTCGCGATCATGTCGTGCATTGACGGCGACGACCTCCTTTACAAGGGAGATCCGGGTACGTACTGATCGGACGACCGAGGTACGACTGACAAACTTCAGCTAACGTTCAGTCTTTCCCTGGCGGCCGGCTCTAACGAGCTATCATCTCTCGACACCAACGCTCTCGCTCCCGACGATCCAAGTGGAGCACTACTTCGTCCTCCTGGTGCACACGATAGCGCTGGCGAACTATGCTCACTCGATCTTGGACGGACTTCCTCAGTTCGAGGCCAAGGGAGGACAGGCACCTATCATCACGAAAGAAGATGAGCAGAAGACTTCGGCGGGCCTGACACGGGCCGTTGACCTGTTATCACAGGCCGCCGGAATAGCCGAGTACACGGCGGAGAACATTACTCCGCAGCTCGACGCGGGGCGGACGACGACAGGAGGGAGACTGGGCAAGTACCGTTGGCCCGTTGAGACGGGCGGCGAAGCTATGACAGGTCTTAGCATGTACGTCTGTTTCAGAGGGAGTATGTAGCTGACAATCAGGATCTTGTTGGCCGATGCGCACGTTACCGCCATCCGGAAACTCCTGCTCCCGATCCTGTCCCACACCCTGTTCGCTCCACCCGGACCTCCCCTGCCGGCTTCCCACCCTTCGCCATCGCTTTTGGGCAAGCTTTATCTGCACGTGTCAAACCTCTACAGCTCGGCCTCGTCGCTGCTCGTCATTCCTACGAATCAGCAGTCCAATTCCTCGGGCTCGTTACTGCGGCGGAAAAAGAGCGATGAGATTGACTCCATTGACGAGGATCTCATCGTTGAGCTGAAGCGGTATCTGAAGAAGGAAGCGAAGCTGTCAAGGGTCTATCCTACAAGTACCTAGGAATCGATGAAGCGTCCAAATCCCTGGGTCAGTCGCTGGCTCTTCTGCAGGAGTCGGGGAGGTGTCTGGAAGATCTGAAGGACTCGAAGCTGGAGAGTAAGATGAAGGGCCTGAACTTCAACAAGGACAAGAAGAAGGCCGAGGCAGTTCGGAACTTGCGGCAAAGCAGGATCGATCGGGAGTACTACTCGGTTCAGGCGTGGCTGCAGGCGAACAAGAAGCTGAACGACACGGTCAACTTCGAGCGTGTGCCGCCGTTCCAAGAGGTCGTCATTCCGCCTGGACGGCCGATCTTCTCAGCGAAGAAGTACACGCTGCCGAAGCTCAAGTTTGCCCCCAGCCATATCGAGGAGGAAGAGGAAAAGCAGGAAGCCGAGTACGCTGGACGAGGCAATTACTTTTAGATTATGCATGATGCTAAAGGGCTTCTGAGTGCTACGTCATGATATGGTGTTATCTGATGTAAGAGGTTGGTGCGTGGAGGTGAGGCTCCGCACCGGCGCTTGGCGTGCCAGTCTGATGGCAGACGGCGTCTGGGGTGCCGACGCGCTACGTGTTGTGCATGCTAGGATGCAGAGGAAGGCGTTGGGACCAGTTAGCGGCCGCCCATTCCCATGCCTCCCATCATCTTCATCATCTGGCTCATGTCGGGCATGCCACCTCCCATGCCGCCCATTCCGCCCATGCCGCCCATGGCCTTCATGGCCTCTGTGGAACGTTAGCTCTACCCTGCCTGTAAAGCTTACCCTGCATCTCAGCCATCGAGGGCATACCACCACCACCACCCATGCCGGGCATGCCGGGCATGCCGCCGCCGCCCATCATACTCTTCATCATGGCGCCCATGTCCATGCCGCCGGGGGCGCCGCCGCCCATCATCTCGGCCATCATCTTCTGAGCACCACCGGGACCAGCGGCCCTGAGCTTCTTGAGGAGCTCAGGAGGCATCGCGTTACGCATAGCCTGAATCTGCTGCTGCGACGGCATGCCGTTGGGGCCGAGAGGCTTGCCGCCAGCAGCGGCCTGCATCTTCTGCATGGCCGACATCCAGCCGTTCTGGCCGCCGGCTTGCCGAGCCATACCAGCCATCATGCGCGCCTGAGCAAGCAGCTCCTCAACTTCCCGGACGCTCGTTCCACTTCCCTGGGCTACTCGCTTAGCCCTCGAGTTAAGGCCAGTCGGGTTTCCGCTGGCGTCGAGGTTAAACTGGGGTCAGTTACCAAACCCTCATAAGCAACTCACGAAGATCAGTCCGTCCGAGTCAAGCTCGTCTGTCCTCATGGCGTCCGTAATGAAGATCATGCGCTTCAGTTTGGCGGCGGCCTCCTCCTCTCCTCCCTGCTCCATCATGCCGGACATTCCCGGAACCATCGACGCGATCTTGCTCAGGCTTCCCATGTTCATGATGTTGGACAACTGGTCCTTCCAATCCCGGATGGTGAACTTGCCCTCGCCAAGCTTCTTCGCCAGGTCCTTCTGACCGTCGGGGTTCGCCCGCGCCATGTCCTGCATGTGCTCCATCAGACCCTGGATGTCACCCATGCCGAGGAGCTTGGAGATGAAAGGCTGCGGGGCGAACTTCTCGAGGTCATTCAGGTGCTCTCCCGTTCCGAGGAAGATGATCGGCGTCTTCGTCGCGGCAACGGCAGAAATGGCACCACCACCCTTGGCGTGGCCGTCCAGCTTGGTGACAATGATCGAACCGAAGTCGGAACTGTCCTTGAAAGCCCTCGATTGTCCTTCAGCCGCCTGACCAATACTGGCGTCGAGAACCATCACCGTCATGTCAGGCTTGACAGCCTTGGAGATGGAGACCATCTCCTCAAACAGCTCGCTCTCCTGCTTGTGACGACCGGATGTGTCGACAATGATGACGTCGAAGCGCTCCTTCCTGAACTTCTCCACACCCTGGTAGGCGATCGTGACCGGGTCGGTCTCGGTGTACGAACCAAAGAAGGGAATCTTGGCCTTCGTAGCGTTCTGCTTCAACTGGTCGAAAGCTCCGGCACGGAAGGTGTCCGCACACACGAGACAGGTTCGGAATCCGCGGCGCTGGTAGTGCACGGCGAGCTTCGTACAGGTCGTCGTCTTACCAGCTCCCTGGATACCGACGGCCATGATCACGTTGACCTTGCCCTTCACAGGCTTGTACGGCTCCGTTCCGGGGTCAACAAGGGCGACGAGCTCATCGAAAACAGCCTAAAAGAAGTCAGCACTGACGTAGCAGCGTGCAACTCACCTTCTGGACGGCGTTCTTCTTGTTCACCTCGCGTCCTCCTGCCTTCTCCGCGTCCTCCAGGTTCCTCTTCACCTTCGCCTTGACCTTCGCTCGAAGCTGGGAGACGAGCTTGACGTTGACGTCCGACTCGAGAAGAGCCGCGCAGAGCTCCTTGACAAGAGCATCGATAGCCTGTTGTCAGCAAAGCATGACGACGACACGCGACGTGAGCATCGGGCGATCACACGATATGGGCTGTCGATGTTCCAACTCACAGTCTCGTCGACGGAGGAGGTTTTCGAGAACTGGTTAAGAGCTCCGTGAAGGCGCGCTCCGAGATCAGCGAGAACCATGTTGGCCGCTGATTGTGTGGTGTAGGAGCAATGAGCGAGTGTGATATCGAGCGCGCTTGGCGGCGACCAAGTCCACTTGGAATGGAGTCTCCGGGTTGGAGGTGACGTGCCTGAAAAAGGCGCCAGCGAGGAACGCGGGCCTAATTGTGGCAGGTGATCTTATTGATGAAGGGGCAAGGTCATCCAAGTGCCGGAGAACGTGTACGTCTCTCGCAAACAGCACCTGAGTGCTTGCTATCGGCAGAAAAGGGCTCGTATGCCAAGCATCAGGATCTGAGCTTTCTAGAGAGCTGTGGACTCATGCAACTTTTGGCCTCTGTTCAGTGGCAAATTCCGTGACTGCCACTTGCGCGTCGCGTGTCAGTCTCAGGCACGGATCAACTCGATACCTCACCCGTCATTGTCATCATCGGCTTGGAGGTCAGGCGTGCGGATCGCTGTTGCCATTCACTCATTCACCTCATAACCACCCCGCACATACACGTTTGCGCCCAATGGCGCCGTTCGACCTCGATGCGTGCATCGAGCGCCTCAAGGACAAGCAGCTGCTTGGAGAGGCGCTGTTGAGAGAAATCTGCGAGAAGACCAAGGAGGTGCTCATGCGCGAGTCCAACGTAGTCCATGTCTCGTCGCCAGTGACTGTCGTCGGCGACATTCATGGACAGTTTCACGACCTGATAGAGATCTTTAGAATCGGTGGCCCGGCGCCGAGTACGAATTACCTCTTCCTTGGTGAGTACGGGCAAGCTGGTGTGCGACAGGTGGGCGGACCATCCGTCATCCCAATCGAGCGCCCCACAGCGTCCAACCTTCAGCCGCTAACCTCCAGGCGATTATGTCGACCGAGGACTGCACTCCGTGGAGACAATATCATTGCTCACCTGCTTGAAGCTTCGGTATCCTGAGCGTATTCAGTTGATCCGAGGAAACCACGAGTCGCGGGCCGTGACACAGGTGTGTATGAGAGCCAATCGGTGCGAGGAAGCACGCGGGGATGATAGATTACAAAAGAGGACTCTGAGGGCTCGCAGCCTTATGACACGGCCACAGAAGCAGGTACACTGTCGTTCGCGAGTGGGCGTGCGATCAGGAACCCAGCCGTATTTGAGAACGGATGTCTGAGCGTTGAGCTAGCTATCGTGTGTCGAGGCATTTGCTGACCGATATCCAGACCTACGGTTTCTACCTGGAGTGCACGCGAAAGTACGGCTCACCGACTGTGTGGCAGTACTTTACCGACATGTTCGACTTCCTGACGCTATCGGTCGTCATCGACGATGCTATCTTCTGTGTCCACGGAGGACTGTCACCATCCATCCACCATATCGACCAGATCAAGGTCATCGACAGGTTCCGAGAAATCCCGCACGAGGGACCGATGGCCGACTTAGTCTGGAGCGACCCAGATCCAGAAAAGGAGGACTTTGCGATCTCACCGAGAGGAGCGGGATATACGTTTGGAGCTTCGATTGTCAAGAAGTTCTTACACCTGAACGACATGAACCACGTCCTGCGCGCGCACCAGCTGTGCATGGAGGGCTTTACGAGACTTTACGACGACACGCTGAGCACGGTCTGGAGTGCACCAAATTACTGCTATCGGTGCGTATGAATGACGTATCGTTAGGTGAACTTGGCTGACCGGGCAGATGTGGCAACATGGCTTCAATTCTGGAAGTGTCACCAGGCGGGCACCGATTCTTCAATGTCTTTGATGCAGCTCCAGAAAACGAACGCGACGGACCAACACAGCAACAAGCAGCCAAGGTGAGTCGGAATGAAGAATGCATACACAGAGATGACCAAGAATGCTAATGTGACAGGCGATAGAGTACTTTTTGTAGACGCTAAAGAGTTCCAGCCGAACTCATAGAATCCCTATGATATTGTATAGACCTCCAGATGGGTCACTCTCTCTAAGACTTATGTAAACTGTTATATCTAGTCTCGCTAGACGGGCGCGCAGTGCGATCAATCGTCCCACTCCAGGCTGGCGAAGACCTGCTCGGCGAGTCCGAACGTGCGCGCAGGCAGAACGACACCCTTTGGCGGGCTCATAACGTGCTTCTGCTCGGGAAGCTTCCACTCCTCATTGATCTTCCATCGTTGGCAGACGAACAGCTTGACTTCAGGATCCCGCCTTGGTCCGAGCACAGGGGTCATTGAGAAGTAGCGAGCAAAGGCGTCGAAGAAGCTCTCCTCCAGGTTGAAGCTGCGAGACTTCCACGCCATGATGATCTCGGGCCCGAACGTGTCTCCCTCGTTGTCAGGAATGGACTCGGGTTCCGTGACCTGAAGCAGTGTCCGCAGCAGTGGCGGGTAGAGGTGCGGGAAGTAAACCTGGGCGTCAGCTATGCCATTATGTTAACGCAAGCTTACCAGGTCGCACAGCAGCAGATGCGTGAAGGGTAGCAGCTTTCCAACCTCAGCAAGCTCATCGCCCCAGCCCAGCGGAAGGGTGATGACCTTTGCCTTGTCCTTGCTTCCTTCCCGCTCAGCCCAGACGTCAATGCTCCGCTGGCACAGGGGCACCACGTTCTCCAGATCCGTCAGTACGACCGTGTCCTTCGGAGTCAGGTGCGAGGCGAGGTGCAGACTGGCGAGAGCCTGACCAGACCCAAGCTCGAGGACGTTCACCGGTCCCCGGTCCTTGGCGAAAAAGGAGCATGGCGGGTCGAACTTGTCGTAGTTCTCCGGCGTCAGGTACTCGAGTAGCGGGCCGGACGCCTCCCACACGCGGCCGGCGATGCCGTACTTGCTGATAGACTCGGCCTGGGCGTGTGCATCGGCGTCGGCAGACGCGTTCGTGCCCTCGAGATGCAGCGGGTTGATGTTGAGATTGGAGGGGAAGTTGGGGTCGTTCGTCGGCGGCGGCATCGGAGTGGGCTCGTGCAGTGGTGGTGGGTGGGTTTGTTGTTGTTGCTGAGCACCGCGATCGGTGAACATTTCCTCGCATGCATCCGCACAGGGTACGTCATGGCGCAGCTGGCCGCCACTCGCATCGCTCAATTCGGACTTTACGAAGTCAATCAGGCACGGCGTGACTAAAGTCCGACAGTGGTTTCGCGGTCAGATTTGGTTCCGTCGTTGGGCGTCGCCCAGGCTGCCCTGCGAGCGCGGTTCGAAATCGTCAAGCGTCAACGGCTGCCCGCTCTCAACCATCAAGTCTCCAGGACAATCAAAGTGAGACCGACCGCGGACACGACCAAATCGACGACGGTTGCTGACGACGACAGAATGGCCCGCTCGACCCCCATCTCGCGTAACGTTGGGCGTCTTTCGCGCTCGCAGGTCGCCGCCAAGCGTGGCCTCCACAAGGGTTAGTGCAACTCGGCAATTCGACTTCGAAGATTTTCGGCACCGAGACACAGCGACGACCGACGACGGAAGAGCACACGAGAGCGATGGAAATGGACAGGAGAAAGGATCGGAGACGAAACCAGAGAGAAGCGTAGAGGGTGTCTGAGAGAGTTATCGGGAGATTTGTTTGGAAGGGTTGTTTGGGGTGTGGAAGGCTTGAGACAGGGGTTGGTTGTGGACGAAGGGATCGACGCCGACAATCGACCAGCCGCCGACGGCATTGACGAAGAGAATGTCCAGAATCGCTCGTGTGCTCTGAAGTTTGGAAGGACGTCGCTATGTTTGGTGTCGGAACTCTGCGTCGATGACCGTCGTTTGGAGAATTGTCAGCTAACGTTTAGGCAAGAAGACCGGTGCCGCTGCCCCCAAGCAGGAGGCCCCTGCTCACACCGAGAAGACTGTCGGTGGCAAGGGCAACGGCGGCAAGCGCCTCATCCCTACCCAGAAGGCTTCGAAGTACTACCCCACCGAGGACGTTCGCAAGCCCAAGGTCTCGCGCAAGGTCGCCGGCAAGGCCGCTCTCCGTGCCTCGATCACCCCCGGAACTGTCCTGATCCTCCTCGCTGGCCGCTTCGCCGGTCGCCGTGTCGTCTTCCTTAAGCAGCTCGACTCTGGCCTCCTCCTCGTCACCGGCCCCTTCAAGCTCAACGGTGTCCCCCTCCGTCGTGTCTCGCAGGCTTACGTTATCGCCACCTCGACCAAGGTCGACATTGCCGGCGCCAAGGTCCCCGAGACCGTCAACGACGCCTACTTCGCCAAGTCGAAGTCTGGCAAGAACTCCAAGGAGGGCGAGTTCTTCGGTGAGGGCAAGGAGAAGAAGGAGTTCCCCGCCGAGAAGAAGTCGGAGCAGAAGAACGTCGACGCCCCCGTTCTTGAGGCCGTCAAGAAGGTCGACAACCTCGCCAAGTACCTCAAGGCTTCGTGGGGTCTCTCCAACGGCGACCGCTTCCACGAGCTCAAGTTCTAAGTCTCTCTCTCATTTATAGTGGTTAGACTCGGGACTCGTGACGCATGGTGATGCATGTACTACCTTCTGCATACCACGGGAGATGCATGTTGGGATGGGATCTGGAGACTGATCAGCGACGGAATCAGGAGTGGCGACCGATGGAAATTGCAACTGACTAGCAGATTCAAAAGATGTTGGTGCCGCAGCATTGCTGACACAGTCTTCGAAATGCGGAAAACATCGAGAGATTAGCGATCGACTTCGGCTGCTATGCGACACTTTACGTTCTAATCGATAAGAATACAACATGTTGACTCTACCAAAGTCTATGATACACTTAGAGCCACGGTTTCCAGCCGACGTACATCAATCCGAGATTGGTATCGCTGGTAGCCTGTTTGATGAGGCTTTCGACGTGGTTGGGAACGCTCTGGATCGTGTCTCCGCTGACACCGCGCAATTTCTTGTGGATAGGCTTCAGGCTCTTGTCCGAGACTGTGCGAACGTCTTGCTGCTTCTTCTTCGTCCACTCCACGAGCGGGTCGTGGATGAACGCTTCGAGCACGCTCATGAGGCTATCGCCGTTCTGCCTAAGGATACCCATGGTGATCTCGGCTGCCTTGCGGAACGAACCCTCAACCCCCGTCACACCCAGCGCATCAACCATATTGTGCGTGAGGCGGAAGGGGACACGCTCGGGAATCTCAAAGGTCTTCGCACGGTCGAACAGGCAGTTCAAGTCGACGTGCACTGTGTCGCCCGTCAGGCCATCGAAGAGAATGTTCTCGCCGTGACGATCGCCTAGGCCGAGGACGTAGCCGATCATCGACATGACAGCTAGCGTGCGGGCATAGTTCGTGCGGGCTGTCAGCCAGGCTGTCGGCTCTGGCCAAGCGAGCAGGAACCACTCGTGGAACACTGTCGGTCTGAACATGGGCAAGATCTTGTCTCTGAACACCATGGGCACATCGCGAATGGGGTTGCCGCCCTTCCGCGCCTGATCCAGCGAATTGTAGATCTCTGAGGTCTGCAGGTCAGTCACAATCACCCTGCTATGCACTCACATAGACCTTTTTGCCGTAGCGGGCGTAGCCCTTCTCGAGGATACTGTTGAGCGCATTCGTGTTCGTGACCCATTCCAGAAGACCACACTCCTCATTCAGAGGCATGACCGCATAGGTGCGGATGTAAAGATGGCGACGACGGGCTTCAGAACCCGACTTGAGGAACTTGTTGATCATGGCGTCAAAGTCCATGAGACGAGCGTCCTTTCGCAGGTCATCGTGGGGCTTGCACAGGAAGGGATAGCGCTTGCCATCGGATCCCTTGAAGACGAGCTTCTTTGGCATCTGCAGCGACGGCATGATCTCCACGGTGTCCGAGATATCTGTGTTGTCAGAGTCGCCTGGAGCTCTTTGCCTTACCTTCAATCGTGACGGCTGTCTGAGGGAAAGGATTGTGGCCCTTGATCGAAGCTCCAGTGGCAGGCAGCAAGACCGTGAGCACATCCTGCATCGGCAGAATCATGCGGGACGGGAAGGCCTCGCGGACGTAGGGGTACTGCTTGCTGAGAGATACCTGCCGGACCTTGGCCACGGGCTTGTCCTCGGCCAGTCGCAGCAAGATGTCGGAGAGTCGTCGGGCATCGTTGATGCGGTCCCTCAGTTCCTCGTTGCGGTTGTTCTGGCGTCAGTCTCTCTCATGCTGGGTTATAGTTATCTTACAATGGCCTTCTTGAGAGCTTGATCCATGATATCCCTTCGTTGCTTGTTCCTGGACTGGATGGCGCCAACTGCGGGCCAAAGGGACTGAGCAGGATAATCTCGGATCACGCGGTAGATGAGCTTCACGAGCACCTCTTGGACTTCCTTATTTCCGTGGGTGATACGAGAAATCATCTGAGGGAACGCTGTGAGGTATTGGTAACTCATGACCTTCCCTCTGGAGCGGTCCATCAATTTTGTGATGTCGACTACCATCTTTTCAATGGTCTTACTGAATGTCAGCTCGAGCGACACACACACGACTCACGATCTGCGAATATCTTTCGACTCGCCCAGATCCAGCCACACGGTGAGCAGACGAGGCATTGTTTGGAAGATGTACTTTACGCCACGCTGCAGAGCCTCGTGGTAGTTCAGGCAAGTGTGGTAGTTGAAGACGGCCCTGATCGTCAGTTTGGATATACCCGTGAGAACTCACATATCCTCAACATTGGACGTGCTGCCGGCCAATGTGTCGTAGTATCGACCGAGATGGAAGAACGGCGCCTCAAGGTTTTCACCCAGCTGAGTCGCCTTCTTGAATCGCCGGATGACACCGTTTTGCTCGAAGCGATCTGCCTCATTCTGCCATCGTGCCTCGAGCAGCACGGCCTTCGCGAGATTTCGCTCTCGTCGGAAGTCCTCTTGCGTCTTCTTGCTGTCACCGCTGTCTAATGTGAGGTCGATGACAGAGTCCGCGTTTTCGGAACGGATGACCAAGTCCTGAACAGGGTGTTCAATCTCTCGCAGAGCCTTCAGAATGCCTCCCTGCATGCGTGTAACCTTGGCACGCTGGATGAACGCGAATGGCGCCTCGGCTCGTTCGGCTTGAAGGGCGGCACTGTAAGCCGTCTGCTCGTATCCGGCCTTGCGTGCGATCTTGGCGCTCTGGATCCACGCTTGACCCAATTCTCCCTGCAGCCGCTGGGACTTAACCAGTCGGAATGCAGTGCGCCGCTTGCTGAGGATCTCCTCACGGGCTCGGAATGACGGAAGCGATGTTTCGAACCTTTGCGCCAGCGATGACACGAGTGAGGCAGCCTGGCGACGAGCAATGACGGTACCATTGGTCGTCACCTCGCTGTTGGGGTGGGTAATCATGAGGTCCGTGTTGTGGATCATTTCAGCCTCCCTCAACATGTGCAGCTGGAGGATGGTGTCGTAAGCTCGGCCGTAGTCGCGCGTTGTGATGCCGGAACCGATCTCCCGTCGAGCAATCTTGACAGCTTCAGGAACTGCAGAAGCCCCTTCTCCGATAGCCAGGAAGGCCTTGGCAATTGGCGGGGGGTTTGCCATGTCCTTGACAGTCGCCCAGTCACCGATGGCCAGGGCAGCTTCGGCCCGGAAGGGCGCGAGCTCCTCTGCCCAGTCGGGGTGATCTCGCAACACGCCTTGGATGTGCGTGCGGAGCGTGTCTAATGTCAGCCGTGATCGTCTCAAGGCAGCTTACCGTAATGGCCGAGATTCTTGAGACACTTGAGCAGTCCGACGTGTAATTTGAGGTCCTCGGGCGACTGTTGCAGCCTGACTTCCCAGCAACTCTGCGCCGATGTCCAGCGACCGGTACTCTCGTGCTCACGAATCTGGAGCTCAAGACTGGGGGCAACAACAAACGCCGAGACACCCTCCATTCCGTCTGGCTCGTCGAGCTCGGCATAAATCTCGTGCAGACTCTCAAAGTACGTCTGGAGGTCCTTGTTTGCCTTATGTTCGCGCGTCCGCAGATGAATCACGCGCTCCTCGAAACTGCGGAGCGACCGAGCATAAGCCCGAGACTTCATGGCCGCGTTGGCCATAAGCTCCTTGTCGATAGATGAAATAAGCTGGTCTACGGCGTACACTGCCGAGCGGCGCTCTTTGTCAGAGTCCCGGGATTGGCGGAGGGATCTGGAGAGATGGTCCATCAGCTGGAAGATGACCTGGGCCGACAGCATGCGCTTTTCCGGAGTACTTTCAGGAGCCGGGCTGACCTGGTCACGGAGCACATCCCATATCTCCTCGCGGATCTGCTCCCTCGCAATAGCATTGCCCGATAAGAGGACGTGCAGAACCAAATGCGGCAGGAGGTGGTGCGCGACCGCCACGTCTTGGTTCTTCGGTTCGCTGAGGAACACGCCGAAAATCTTTTGAGCATGATTTGTCTCACCCTCGTGCTTCACCTCCATTACGCGCCCGATGAGGTCGACCGTCCAAACCTGGATCCACTCCCGGTACGTCTTTTTGGTTGAGTAGATGGGATATTCGAATGTCCTCGTCTTGATCTGGTTCTGCTTGAATTGCGCGTCCAAAAGAGGATTAACAGTCTTGAGAACGTCTTCCGGAAGCTTCTTCCATCGACGCTGCACTTTCGAAGGAACATTACCACCCTTGACGAGGCGAGAGTCGAAACCGCAGAACCTCATTAGCTCCTGGATGGCGAACGCGAGGTGGTTCTGATGTTTAGGGTCATTCGTTGACCTGAACGCGTCCGCCAAAAGATCTTTGATCAAGTTAAGAGCGAAATCTACTGATTCCTCCGCTTCAGTGAAGTTGGATTCGATCAGTATGGACTTCTCCTCTCCTCCAGTCGCAAAGCGGTCCGGGTCGAGGGCACCGATGACGCCGAAGCACTCATATGCGAGATCGCGCAGCTCCTCGCAGTCGGCCGAGCGTGTCGCAGCGGCCAAGAGAGATCGCACGGTCTGCCCCAAAACAGGTTCGAAAGCGTCACCCTGGGCGAGCTGCATGACATCCGAATGCCTCTCCTTCAGAAGGTTCCTCAGTTCCCTCATTGACTCCGTCGCGATGGCGATGTTCTTGCTGTCAGTGCGCTCGATGAGCTTTTCGAGCTGCTCAGCGATTGACCAGCTCTTGCGGTAGTCGAGAAGGATGCGGTTGTAGTTTGCCAGCTCTTCAATGTGGCCAAACCGAATGATGTCGTCTCGGAACTCAGCCAGGTGGGTAGCGTTGCCGGCTATGTGACCGACAATCAGTTTTGCTTGTTCGCGCTCAGCCGGGTCGAGGTTGCTCCAGTTGGCGACGATGGCTGCAATTGTGGCCCCGATGTAGGGCCCCACAGCGGTAAAGCGAAGCAGCTCCACATACTTGCACCAAGTCTGCAGAGTCGGAAGGCGAAGTCCCGGGATCTCGAGTGTACTTTGCAGGCTCGCAATGATCTGCGGGGAGAACGATGCCATCGAGTCTCCGACCAGCTCGATTAGAAATCCGATACTGCAGATAGTCTTGATACGGTGTTCGATGGGCGTACGGGGAGTCATGAGATTCTCGGTCAAGGACGCGAGCACTCCCAGCATGTGTGGCTTGAGATAGGAGCCCAGGTCGTCACACTGCTTCTTCTCAGCAGCTTGCAGTGCGTTCAGTGCTCGGTCCGCCACATCACGCCGGGCTTTGTCCTTGTCGCCCAACTCCACGACAATCTTGACGAGCAGCGGCACAATGGAAGCCTGGATGTACTTGCTCAAGATGGCCTGTGGAGGGCTTTTGTTGTTGGTGGCCTCGCCCAATAGAGTGGTGACGAAGCTCAGGCTGGACTGCGTTCGCTCTGGCGTGAGGAAGATCTTGGCCAGCACATCAGCGCCCTCCTCCACGATGAGAACGCCGAGTCTCTGGTTCAAGATAGACTCCAGAGCTTCGAGGGCAGGTCGGTTCTGGAGTAGGATCAGCGTCGGAATGACAGCCTTCCGGGCAGCATCGAGGGCGAAGAAGGTCGCCCGGTTGTAGCCGATGAACTGCATCATTTCCGCGACCACCATCGGCTGCGGAACAATGCACTCGGCGAGTAGCACACTGATGCGCTCCATGTAAGGCGAAATGAGGTTGTAGGGCTGCTTCCTCCGGAACGACGCAATGCCGACAAGTTGCGTGTAGGCAATGCTCCGGATGATGGTGCTGGTTGATCCCAGCTGTCGGATGAGGATCTCCAAGATGTCACCGAGCTCCCTGTCCGGGGAGCCGCGACCCAGGTCCCCTAGCAAGTTCAGAGCTGTCTCCTGTACGCGAAGAGGACCCTTTAGGAGTGTCGGAAATCTCCCAATGATCTCACGCTGAATCAAACTTTTGTACTGGGGCTGATCAGAGCTGACGAGCTCCTTGTAGATTGCTGAGACTAGCGTTCTGACGTTAGCGACATGCACAATCAGCGACACATACCCAGCTGCGATGCGCGTTCGTCGCTCCGGTGAGGACATGGCCTTTCCCGACCTCCACAGGATCTGAGCCCAAGACTGAGAAAGAGTCTGCGCCGCACTTCTGTGGAGATACAGAATTGCAAGCGTACGCATGACGACCCGGTCATCTGTAACTGAGTTCCACCCCTTCAGCCATGCATTGGCTATCTCTGGCCGAAGCGGTTCGTGATGTTCGTCGCATTGAGCCAATGCGCACGCGATGGAGGGTGTGCTCTCGAGCAGTTTGAAGGCTGTGGTGGGTCCGAGACTGGCGTCAGATGAAGCAATGTATCAGTGCTCACTTTTCGAGTATTCCAGGGAAGGAGTCGAGAATGTCGCCTTCTATTCTGAGATCCGGCATCTTTCCTTTGAGAATGGCCATGATGCTCGCCTCAACGGGGTTATCATCGCGTTTACGCTTCAGCGATATCGGCGGAGGTACTTTCATAAATCGCTTCAGGCGTTCTCGAACGTCCAGTAGGTTTCGAGATGTGGCCTGTTGGCTCCAATGTTCAAGCACCTCTCGCTCAATAGCTGCCTCTATGCCACCTTCATGAACGTGATTCGCAATTGGGCCGAGGAGAAAGAGCACCTTCTGCTGAGTGACCTTGCTGTCGAGCGCGATGGTGTCTACACCGCTTTCTCGAAGCGCCCACCAGACATCCCTGCGCAGGGACAAGTCCCCGCTCTCCTCTACGGCTTTCAGCAGGCTGACGATGGCCGATTCCAGCCGCTCACCATCCTCTGGCAGCTCTACGACGGTCGTCACAGCTCTGGAGAGGGCATGGCGCACTTCACTACCGCCGAGCGCAGCTTCAATAACAGAGCATAAAGCGCTTGCCTGTGAGGAGAGGTTTGGTGGAGCTTGGAGTGGAGGGAAGACAAGACGGTGGCAGCGCCCAGTCGAGCAGCAGCGGCAAATGGTGCGGTTGAACGAAGAACGGCGTTGAGAAGGAAGATGTTCGTCGCACTGTCGGACGGAAGGTCGCTGAATCCAAAAAGAGTCGACTCGCTGTCCGATTCTTGGCGTCAGCTCCTAGCCTGTCCATTGCGCTCACCCCTGGCATACGATACCATCTCGTTCATGATCTTGGTAACTCTGTGCGGGCCGATCATGCTGGAGGCGCTGTCTCCGAGATCGCGCTCAAGAACGACGAAAACATGGTCGATGCACTTCTCTAACTCCTTGACAAGAAGCCCTCCTCCAGGAAGATCCTCATAGCCCACAGCGGCAGTTAGGATCCTCGTGATGAGCCACGCGTAGAAGGGCCCCGGTGTATCGATGTCGTCCGATTCGAATAGCAAGACGTCTGGGCAAGCAGCGGAATGTCTGGCGACGACGTTGAGCGAGAGCCTTGCTTGCTCGAGCACCTTCTCCTCGAGAGGCTCCGTTCTCGTCTTGTCGGACAGTGGTCGCAGAACGCAGTAGTCGACGAGGACTCGCAAGAGCTTGCGGTATCGCTTGATCGCTTCCTCTGTCGCTTCGGGATCCGTCTCGGCGACGTCGACGGAAGCGAGTCCGTGGGTGAACAGCTCCGCCAGCAGCTTTTCGTCAGCTTCTGGTGGTGCCGGGTTCGTCATCGTGGAATCATTTGCTGGCTCGTTGGTGGGAATGTGGGGAGGTGATGGGAGGAACAGACAAAATCACAACAACAAATATCTCGGTCCAGTCATCTACCCAGACGCGAATCAGGCACGGCTGTCGCGCAGGCGGAGTGGCGCTGAAGTCCGCTTTCATGATTACTCCGACCCCCGAGTACAGAACCTCCTCACCCATGCATGCATTTGCATCACAGAAGGAAGAATTGCATCAGCTGTAGTTCTTGCATAAGGGAGCTAGTCGAAGGCTGGAGAGTCCAGGTGAGACCAGTTCCCCAGTGTGAAAGGCGCCCCCCTCCTCTCTGTCGCCTGCCACTCTTCTCCTCCGGCCGTTGATGCCTCCTCCCTGTGGCCGCATGGCCCCATTCTATGAGGCCCAGGAAGACAGATTCTCGTCCGCGCAGCTGGCTCAAAAGCTTATATATCCCATACATATACTCTTATTAACACGAGGTCTATGTATACCCTATCAGATGTGTGCCTTGTGGCGGATTATAACTTTTAGATGAATAAGCACCCTCGTCGTACAAAAGCACTTCCTCGGATGCTTATGGTAGGTGGTGCTTAAGCGACGTCGACGGAAGCGAGTCCGTGGGTGAACAGCTCCGCCAGCAGCTTTTCGTCAGCTTCTGGTGGTGCCGGGTTCGTCATCGTGGAATCATTTGCTGGCTCGTTGGTGGGAATGTGGGGAGGTGATGGGAGGAACAGACAAAATCACAACAACAAATATCTCGGTCCAGTCATCTACCCAGACGCGAATCAGGCACGGCTGTCGCGCAGGCGGAGTGGCGCTGAAGTCCGCTTTCATGATTACTCCGACCCCCGAGTACAGAACCTCCTCACCCATGCATGCATTTGCATCACAGAAGGAAGAATTGCATCAGCTGTAGTTCTTGCATAAGGGAGCTAGTCGAAGGCTGGAGAGTCCAGGTGAGACCAGTTCCCCAGTGTGAAAGGCGCCCCCCTCCTCTCTGTCGCCTGCCACTCTTCTCCTCCGGCCGTTGATGCCTCCTCCCTGTGGCCGCATGGCCCCATTCTATGAGGCCCAGGAAGACAGATTCTCGTCCGCGCAGCTGGCTCAAAAGCTTATATATCCCATACATATACTCTTATTAACACGAGGTCTATGTATACCCTATCAGATGTGTGCCTTGTGGCGGATTATAACTTTTAGATGAATAAGCACCCTCGTCGTACAAAAGCACTTCCTCGGATGCTTATGGTAGGTGGTGCTTAAGCACTCTCCTCAGAGGGAGGGCGAGCAGTGTAGTTGGAGTTCTTAACGAAGTTCTCCTGGTGCTCGTTGGAGAGCTCCTCGAGAGTGAGGCCCTTGGTCTCGGGCGTGCAGAAGATGGTGACGATGAAGCCCGTAAGCATGAAGAAGGCGAAGATCTCCATGATGTGGGGCAGGAACTTGCCCTTGCCGCCGATATCAATCATCTTAGAAAAGCCAACCTGAGCGACGATGGCACCGAGCTTGCCGGAAGCGGCCGAGATGCCGTGAGCGGTCGAACGGTAACGAGTCGGGAAAGCCTCTCCGGGAACAACAAAGGTCGTAGAGTTGGGGCCAAAGTTCTGAAAGAAATTAGCCATACAGTACAGGAAGACGAAAGCCTTCTGTCCAGAGGAGCTGGCCATCATCTTGTCGTAGGCGAAACCCATGCAAATGAAGATGGCGGTGAGAAGACCGAAACCCATGATCTGGATGGGGCGACGACCCCACGAGTCAATGAACGCCATAGTGAAGTAGTAGCCGGGGATGAGACCGCCGACGGAGAGGATAAGGTTGCCGACAGAGGAGTTGTGGACGGAACGCCAGGCGTTGACCTGCTTCGAAAGGCTCTTGTCGGCCGAGCCACCGAAACCGATAACCGAGAGGATACGGGCACTGTTCAGACCGAGACCGTAGAAGGCAATGTCGAGGGCAAACCAGGTGTAGGCGGTACCGAAGAGAATCTTGAAGTTCCTCCACTGGGAGAAGTGGTGGCAGAAATCCTTCCAAGAGGCCTTGGGGACCTCGGCACGCTCGTGGTTGCGGACAGGGTCGACAGTGTAGGTACCGGTCGTGAGGTAGGTGTCAACGTCCTGGGAGGCCTGCTTGATGTTGGCCTCAATGTCCATTGTGTAACGGGGGGTCTCGGGGATGGTGAGACGGAAGTACAGAGCGATGGCAGCAGGAACACAGCCGACACCAATGAGGGTGCGCCACGCCTGGTCCATGGAGTGCCAGTTGTCGAGCGGCTCGCTCTCAATACCCTTCTTGAAGCCGGCGAGGGCAATGGAGGAAACAATGGCGCAGAAGAACTGGCCCCAGCCCTGGGCGGAGAACACAGCGATCATCATGCGACCACGGATGCGCTTGGCGGCGAACTCCGAGGTGATGACGGCCGAGAGAGGGTAGTCACCACCGATACCCATGCCCATGATGAAACGCCACATGATAAGGACACCGTAGATGGAGATTCCGGGAGCTTTGCCAGCGACGGCCTGGCCGAGGGTACCGATGATGATGATCATGAGTTCGACACCGTACATCTTCTTACGGCCCACGTGGTCCGCAAGCTGGGAGTGTTAGTGTCCGCAAGCAGCCATGAGGTCATAGAATACTTACGAAACCGAACAGGAGCTGTCCAAAGAAGGTACCGATCGAGTGAGCAACCTTGATGCCGAGATCCTGAATAATTGTCAGTAACGCGACCGAAATTCAGGGCGGTGCCACGAACCTGGTTGGGGGTGTTCGAGCCACCGGCATGGTAGACGTAACCAATCATAGACGCGGCAAGCGAGATAGCCTAATCATCAGCTCAGTCCGGAGATGATCCTCAACGACTTTTCCGCTTCCTCAGACCGTTTTTGGCCGTTTGGGAAGCGTTTTTTGTCGTTTCTGTAGGAATTTTCACTGACGAATATGTCGTACGCATCTATAAAGAACCCGACGCCTGTGCATGCGTTAGAAGAGCATTTCCACCAAAGATCACGGGGGAACAAGAAGGAGGGACGGTGGAAGAACGAGGAGGAAGATGGACGGGTGTTGGTGGGTTGTGGCGGGTGGCGGACGGAAGCAAATAATTTCGGGTAACTGCGAAATTAGACTCACCTGCCACAATGCACGCCTTGGCGTGGAACCAGGAAAACTTGGCATCGTCAATCTCGGCAAGAGCGGCCCTGCGACGCTCGTCAGGGTTGCCGACGAGGGCGCCCTTGTCGGCGTAGGCGTTCTTCTCGACGTTGTCGATGGGAGGGGAGAGCTCGACGCCGGACATGTCGAAGTTTGTCGATGAGAGGGGGGGTTGCAGCTTTCTGAGAAGAACGCTGAGTGCATCTTATACCGCTGTGGGGCAGCACTGGGGGCGCAAGATTCCTCAGTTCGGCGATGCGCGCGAGACAACAGCGAAATGCGGGCTGGGACGACCATCGCGCGTGCGGGCCAGAGATCTTGCCACGAACGTGCTTGTCGCTGCGCGCTATCTGGCTACTGATACGGCGAGATTGGGAATTATCCGACGATCTCCCTGTCCGTGCCTTACGCTGCCCCTGGGTCGGTCACTTTCCAGTCGCTATTAATAGCTCTCGCTTTGTCGCGTCCTTGTTCGCTTGACCGCTCGACATGCATTGCCATGCTCGCGGGCAGCGCGCTCGCGGAGCAATGCAGGCCACCGAGAGCAGCTAGTGGATATCCTTTCAGGACAAACTCGCAACCCACCCAGCTGCGGATTCTGCCGTTTGCCCCGAAAGAGATCGCGGGCGAATCAGCTCTGCGACAAGCGTCCGAGCTGCAACAGTCGTGCATGCACGTTTGTGAACGAGGTCGTTTGACACGCACCATTCCGCAAAGGCGAAATAGCGCTCCCCGACGATTTCGGCAAGCATGGGCCGTGCCCAGGCCCATGACCAAGATCTCCTCGGGCGACCTTGACGGCGACCAGTTAGCCAGTGGGCTCGAAGCTCTGTCCCGGCCCCGTGCCAGCTCCGTTCCAGTCCCGGGCAAGGCGCCCCGGACGGCGTCTTGAAAGCAGAACGTGCTCACACGATCGCGCGCAACTCGTCCACGGCGTCCCGGACCTGGGATGTATTTTGGGAAGCACCCTTTGGGCTCCGTTTCTTGGCGAACCGAACAGCTCACGCGCGAGGAAAACATATTGCGCCATTGGTTTGTGACTCTGTTGGACGTTACGAGCACTCTCTGCCGTGCACATGCTTGACAGCATGCTTCCGTGCATACCCCCGAAAAGAGGGCCACGGGCGCTCGGTTTGAGGCAATTCCGTATGTTAGCCTGCTGGACGGGGAGACGGGCTGAGGGAACTCAGTCATGAGGCGGTGTTGCGACCCCAAGTGCCCCAAGGTGAGTCATGAACGTGCTCGCCAGTGTCCAAAAAGCCTCACATGGACAGTGTTCATCGTTTTTTCCCCTCAGATATGTCTGTTTAGTTACTTCTCACTAGGTGTGCTCTTGACTCCCGGCATGTGCTTCGCTCGTTGCCCGCAATGTTCAGCGGGTCGCCTCTGAGTCTCTCGCCACTGCCCTCTGCTCCCCCGCCGAACCGACCTTCCCTCTCCACGATCGCCTTCATTCTCTTCATTTTCACTCTCGTAAGCTTGCACCTCCTTTCGATAGCACACATTCCTCGCGCAAGTCACGTGACAATACTGGCGAACGCTGCACTCAGAGGGTCGGTTCCTGCCTGGTGAGGTACGTTTTCTCCACAGCGGGGCCAAGCTCGCTGCTTGCTGAGGCACGATCTCCGTAGCGGAGCTGGACCTTCCAGTCTCGCCTAACTTGGTGCGGTCTTCTTCTGATGTGGAATTCATCGTACAGCAGCGCTGCAAAGTCTGCGCGGCAATCTACGTGTCTGCTTAGACGCTTTCTATACAACGACCAGGTCTACCTCCGGGTTCTTCTAATCTCGAACGGCGAGCTTTGCCCGCCCTTCATCGCCTCCTTGATCTGCTCAGGGCTGGCTCCGCACGTCTCGTCAATGTCGACATTGGTGACGTTGGACATTGGAGGGCCGGCTTGGAGATCTTGCTTCCTATCAGTCAGCTAAGGCCTCTGGTTTCACGGCCACGCACAGTTCAGCGAGCATGGTTGGGTCCCCCGCGGCGACCCCCTGCACGCTCCCGTCAGAGCAGTTGCATACCCAGCCTTGGAGGCCGCGTTTGAACGCTCTGGGCGAGTCAGTTTAATGCCGCTCAATTGGTGCTCTGAGCGCATATTCAGGTGAAGGCTTAACCGATAGGGCGTGCGCTGCCGGCGGCAATGGCAGGCTGGGACCCTCAAGCAGTCCATGCGGCCAAGTTCCGCCGGCGGCCCCATGCAAACGAGATTGCACAACAATGAGCGCCGCCCGCGGTATGGCGGCATGGCTTGCGGCAACGAATGTGCGGCCAGTTCCGAAATAAACGAGGCGACGATTGTAACCTACTCTGTCTGCACAAAGTACCTGAATCCCACGCCCTGGTCGTCAGACAATCGACAACTCTCACGGCCCATGCATCATACCTGGACGTCGCCGGTGCTGCCCGCGTCAGCTAAGAAGACCCAAAACCCAGCTCACACTTTGAACTTGATGAGATCAGTAAATGGCATGGGTGCGAGCAGAGTGGTGCAGAGACGGATGGAAGGATCTCGGCAACTCGGAAAGTAAGGGGGTTAACGGACGGGCCGTGCACGTGAGTGCGGGTTGTGCAGGGGCCGCGATCGGTGTGCCGGGGGGGTGAGCGGAGGCAGAGTTGCGATGACGGTGGGGTATACGGCGGCCCGCGAGGGGCTGATTAGGCCCCGCTGGCGACGCTGCCCTCGGGTTGCGGCGGACGTACTCGGTCGCTGGGACCGCATCCCAGGACAATCGTCCATTAGGAATACTGCGGCGGCTTCTAATACGTCCAGGCACGCATTAGATTTCTCCCAGTTGGCCACCGCCGGCGTCGCTTATTCCGCTAATCAAAAGACTTCATTACGCGGGCCGGACCAACACATGACCGAATCACTGCTCAGTGATACGTTACCAGACGACGCATGACTCTGGCCGCCGTTGACTCGGAAAAGAAAGGCGAGCGACCAACCCAACTTTGTTTCCTGACCTCTCCCCCGGCTTCTCTCGACTACACCATCCCTCACACACACACAGCACCACGACAGACCAGGGCACAGCAACGACAGCGACGAATCGACTCCACTGCACGGATGAAGTCTAGACAAACGCTCCTCCGGAGAGCCCCTCTCCAGAGGCAACCGCTCCAACATCACCGATCATTCTCCCTCTACTACCCCAAGTCCCCGCCCGACCCGCGCGGCGGCCAGCGCTCAGCCTCGACCTCGGCTCAGTCCACCGACTGGCTCGGATGGATCAAGAAGGCCCCGATTCCTGTTATTGGCAGCGGTGGCAACGATGAGCATGCTCGGAAGGCGCTTATCTTCGCTGGTCTTGTGAGTACCGGAACAACGTCCCGCCGCTGACACCACAGGGAAGCTACCCGCACACCCCGCAATCCCCCACGCCATCCTCGCTGGACGTCTGGGAGCAGGCATCCGAAGCTCTCCTCAACCCCGATGCGACGCTTGGCTACTGGGACTACGGCATGGAGGAGTTCTCATCCTCGATTGCGCAGGGCGGCGGTGGCCGCGGTATCCGTGGCTGGCTTCGAGGCTGGGTCGAAGGCCGATCTCTGGTAAGCGCGCACGTCCATTGTCCCAGCTAACATGCAGGACGAGCTCATGAAACGCGCCGACGTCACGGCCCCGTTCATTCTGACCTCATCGCTGGCGATCCTGGCCTCGGAGCAGGTGAGTCCAAGCACTTCCCCAACATTTTTCTGACATGCCCGCAGGAGCGCACAGGCCACTCTTCTATTTTGCCGGCGGGCACCAACTATCTCGCTGGCCACGGGTTCATCGGAACGCTGACTGCGCTCGTTGCGGCTGGGCGGCTAGACCTGCCGACGGGCGTGCGGCTCGCGCGTATCTACGCCTCGCTGCCGGCTTACCCCAAGAACGTTGACCCGGTCAAGGGCTCGAAGCGTTTCCTCACGACAGCCTTATCGGCAAGGCACTGGCACTCGCTGTCGAGCCCTGACATGTTCATCCCCTTTGAGTCGCCCCTTGCGGCCGACCCTACGGACGAGCCCGAGCGGCGGCGAAGGGCGATGCAGCTGATTCTGGACGAGGTGCACTCGCTCCAGCACGAGTGGGAGATCGAGGGCCAGGGCGACTGGGCCGAGGCGGGCATCATCAACAGCTCCAAGGTCGTGATTGTGACGGGCACGACGCTGGCGGTGGAGAGCCTGATCTCGCGCCTGCAGGAGCTCGGCGTCGCGAACCCGGTCATGGATGTGAACATGCCGTGCCCGTACCACACGAAGCTGATGGCGCACGCCGTGCCCGAGTTCTCGGCCACGCTGCAGCGGATCATGTTCAGCCCCGCGTCGATCGACAGTCCCCACGTCCTCGACCCGATCACGACGCGGCCCATGGTCGGCCCTCCCGCGGCCGCGCTCCAGACCCAGCTCTGCCACCAGCTCCGGTGGCACAAGACGCTGACGCGCATCTACAACCAGCCGTCGCCGCCCGTCGACCAGTTCCTCACCGTCGGCCGCGGCGCAAAGGGTCTCGGCATCATGCTCAAGGGCGAGCTGAAGCGGCGCCCTGAGGGCGCACCCCCCATCACTGTGAGCGAGTACGGCGTCAAGGAGGTGCAGGACCCGCGTGTGCTCAAGATGCTCGCGCGGCGGTCGGCGTCGGGCATGTGAGAAAAGGAAGGAGAAAGTGTAAAAGATTCCTTGTGCCATATAGTGTTATTATCGCGTGCAGTCAAGCACCAAACCTCCAATGTTGTACAGTATGACGGCCTCGAGCCGGTATACAATTATCTCCGACGTAGAGAACAAACTCCCACCACAACCCCCAACATATCCCAAACAAATGCAAACATATCATCATCACGAACAGTCGCAGTCTAAGTGAATCCATATGCAAGAGTAACTGAGAGATATAAAAGTACACGTTGATCATTTCTAGAGTTAGAGCGCGGCCAGACGCTCCTTGAGCGCGGCGGCGCCCTTCATCTCGCTCTCCCCCACGGCCTCGGCCACAGCCTCCGACGTCAGGATCGCCTTGGCCTCGTCGATCTTGTCCGTCTTGGCGAGCGCCTCGACGAGCTCGAGGACGACGAAAGGCGCCGCGGCCGCGACCTTGGCGACATTGGCCGAGGCGCCGGCGTCATCGGACGCGATGGCGTCCCAAGCTGCAGAGGCGACGTCGCCGCCGAGCTGCCCGTCGACGACCTCGATCTGCTTGCTGACCATGCTGAAGTGGCCGCCGGTGAAGAGGGTCTTGTACGTCCGTGTCGCGTGCGCGAGCTCGAGGGGGTGTGTGCCGTCGCCCGTCAGGGGGGCTTGGAGCGGCGCCGTCAGCGCCGCAATGGCCGCGCCCTTGTCGCCAACACTGTACAGCATGATGTCCTGCACGAGCAGGCCGGCGCCCGGGTCGCGCACGAGCGCCTCGCCCTTCTCGGCCACGAGCTCGAGCAGGCCCGGCGACGCGTACCCGACAATCTCCTTGCGGCGCACGGCGGGGTCCTTCTTCGACGTCCCCAGCTCGCGCGCCTCTAGAGCTGACGCGGCAAGCGACGCAAGCGTCGAGGGCAGGAAGTGCCGGCTCGCCTCGGGCGTGAGGAGGTAGTGGAGCGCGCGCTTGCCCGTCTTGTCGAACGCGAGCTCGGGCGCCAGGCCCACCAGGTCGGAAACGAACGCCTTGCCCATCATCTTCGTGTCGTCCACCACGTCAAAGGCCGTGAAGAGCACCTGCTGCGCGTCGCCGTCCTTTGCAATCGCCTCTGTGTGCTTGCGCAGGTTCTGCAGGATCGACTTCCTGTCCTTGGCGCCGCCGTGGACGAGCATGCAGCGCACGACGGCACTGCCGTCCTTCGTGTGCACGATCTCGGCGAGCGACTCGAGCGAGGCGTCAAGCAGCTCCTTGTACTTCTTGGCCGCGGCCTCGGGGGACAGGAAGCGGTAGATGCACGTGAGGTACTCGTGGACGAAGCGGTGGAAGATGGATTGCGCAAGCGCAGTCTTCTGCGTCGCGTTGAAGACCTCGAGAACGCGCTCCTCGCACGCGTCCAGCACACGCTCCCGGCCAGCCTCGTTCATCGACTCGAGCGAGCCCTCGAGTCCCGGGACGTCCGCACCGCCCTTGCCGCCGTCAAAGATGGCAATCTCACGCGGGTAGAAACCGCGAACGAGCAGACGGCGCTCCTTGGCCGAAGCCCAGAGGTCGTAAAAATCGGACACGGGCTGGACGGCGTCGGCGTGGAAGAGGAGAGAGGTCAGGTGCCGGCTGATGACGGGGATCAGGAGCGGGCGCATCGAGGGGCAGTACCGGATCAGCTTGGCCATGAGGAACTTGGAGTACTTGGACTCCATCATCGCGCGCCACATCGGCTGCAGCTCCATCGCCACGCCCAGGCGCTCCTCCTTTCCGCCATACTTGACAATCTGTCGTCAGCTCAGCAACATCGTGATAACTTACCGTCTGGAGGATACGAGCTCCTCGGTGTCCACGCGAAATCTCCGCAATACGTCCCTTGACCGTAGCGTACAGGTCGGCGATCGCCTTCTTCCTCTCCTCCTTGGGCATCTCGGACTGGCGCGCCTGCTCCCACACCGGCAGGATCTCCTGCAGGAGCGCGTGAGAGGGCAGGAGCGTCGTGCGATGCGGCTGCGCAGCGTGCAGAGCCGCACGCTCAGCCTTGCTCATCTTGCCGCGCTTCTCCGGCTTGCCCTGCTCGCCCTGCTCCTGCTCCTCAACGTCCATCTCGTCGTACTCGTCGTCGAGGAACTCGTCGTCACCCATCGAGACATCGCTCTCGTCGCCGCCGCCCTGCGTCACGGGCTTCTTGCGCTTCTGGGCGGGCGTGTCGTCGGCATCCTTCTCCTTCTTTGCGGGAGCCTTGCCCTTGCCCTTGGGGGCGGCGCCCTTGTTGTTGAACTTGCCGGCGGGCTTGCCAGCGGGCTTGTTCTTCTTCCAGCCGTCGGAGAACTTGGCCGACTTGGTCGGGGGTGCGCTCGAGGCCGAGTCGGCTCGGCGCTTCTGACCGTGCACTTTTGTAGACATTGTGTCGGTGTGTCGGGTCGTGTGAAGTGTGTATCGCAGGCTTGGACGCCTTCCCCGCCGCTCGATGACTTCAACAAATCTACCAGGACGAGGGGGGGGATCCAGAAATCTGAACGGAGTGTGGGAGCATGTCCGCTTAGGCTGACGTGTCATTAGCTGGGGTTATTGCCACCCAGAGGCGCCCAAAAGTTGATAGTCCGCGTGGTCCCATGCGTGATTCCTCAATTCCTTGGGATCCTGTGCAAGCCCCTGTGCATCTGGCTGTGTGCGGGTCTTGGCCTTCCCCTAAGCCTGTTGCAAAGATCCAGGCGTCGACCTAAACCTTGACTTTATAGTTACGGCACAGTGAAAACGCGGGATCAACACTCTCACTCAGTGACCCAGTCCGCCGCCGCCCACTACTGTGCATGCGCATATCGCCCATGGGAGCACATCCCTGCAGAAACAGAAACCATCCTCTCTAATCCTCAATTCCGGCACACAGGAGCCTAGTCCGGCTTAGCCAACTTCCTTCTTCGCATTCTCTTTCTCTCTCTCCGCTTTTCATCCCACTGGACACTTTTGACACCACTTTTCCCACCTTCTTCAACGCACGCACGCACCCTTCCTCACGCGATCCCTCCGACCGCGCCCCGCCGACCAGTCTCCTATCCTCCCCCATCCCCTTCCCACCAACTCTCCAAACCGCCATCTCGACTGTTCGAGGCTAGCGATGCGCGGTCTGAGCCCGCATCGCCGCCGCCCCACCTCGCTCTAACAACCGTCGATCCATATTTTCTTCATCCCTCGACCTCTTACCATGATCCCGTCCTACTTGTTCGCCTGCATCGTTGCTCCCTTCCTCTTCTTGCTCGCGGCCTTTGCGACGCCCTCGCCCGTCGCTTCCCCGTTCGGAGTCGGCTTCGTCAACCCGGAAGACCGCGACGATGGCCCGCAAAGGGTCACGCCTGCGATCACCGTGCAAGAGGAGCCCGACATAGAGGTCGACGTCCTTCCCTTCGTCCTTGTGTCCACTGTTGATGGTGCTCTCCATGCTATCGACAGGGAAGCGGGACATGTCCGGTGGACATTAAGGGACGGAGTCGAACCCTTGGTCGGCGGAGGATCCACCAACAAGAGAGGAGACGACGTCGAGTACATCGTCGAGCCTCTCAGCGGTAACCTCTTCGTCCTCGAAGGCGACAAGGGAGAACCGACCGTGCGCAAGCTCCCTCTTACGGTTGAGCAACTGTGAGTCCCGTTCCGCCTCTTTTTTTTTTCCTTCTTTCGATGTGCTTCCCCCGAACCATCCGGCCCTAGCGCGTTAATTTGATGAGCCGCAGCCGCTAACTCCTTGGTAGCATTGAGATTTCCCCCTCCAGTTTCCCCAACAACCCCAGTGTGATCTTCACCGGGGTCAAGCAGACCTCGCTTCTCACGCTCGATCTGCGAACCGGGCAGCAACTGGACCATTTCACGGCCACTCCTTTCGATAACGCGTCCGCACCCGGCGTGTGCGAGAACGATCTGCTCGACGACCTCGAAGGCGCAGGCCGATCGCACCGCGACACACTCTTCGTCGGACGCACCGACTACACTCTCAAGATCACGACGCAGACAACAAACGTCGATCTTTTCTCTCCCACAGCAACAGTGGCTGCTGCCAAGAACCGCCAGGAAACTGTCATTACGTACTCAACCTACACACCGAACGGGTATAACAAGGCTTTGGCCGAACAGTGGGCGAAGAATGCTGCGAAGAATGTCGAAGCACACCCCCGTATTCATGTCGAGCTTGGCTTCAACGGAGAAGCCATCGGAATCCGAAACGGCAAGGTCTGGGCGACGAAGCTAGACTCGGTCGGTATCGCGGTCTACGACGTCGTCCAACCGCTGTCTCCGGCTTCTGCAAACCCGGTGATTCTACCGCAGCCTCCCATCGATCTCAAGGCGTTAGTGCCGCGATCAGCGACCATTCCGGCGCACTTCCACCGCCCGCCTTCGACATACATTGGAAGTGTGCCGTTTACCCCGCATCACATGCTTTCCGGGCCGGCGGACCCGACTGAGACGAACGGTCAAACCGAAGACACCAAGGGCGACAAGACGACGCTCAAGCCGCGCCCTCTGCTGTTTGCGCAGTCGTCAAATGCCTATCCGTTCGTGAACGCGGCGCCGCCAGCCAAGCCTGGCAACGTGAATGGTTCCTTCCCGCTGTCGGACTACCTGCCGGAGCGGGATTCTCTGCTTCCTCAAGACAACCATTTCCGCCCTCTCATCGACCCGCCCAAGGAAACTGGTGCCGTTATTGAACCGCCCCCGAGTGAGGTCGTTCCTGCGCCAGAGGCGCCCAAATCTGGCAACCGAGGTTGGGCTGTCTTTGTCTTTGAAACAATCGCCGTTCTGCTCGGTGGCGCAGCCGTCTATCAATGGGGCTTTTCGAAAGCCACCCAGGCTGCGTTAGCGACATCTGGTGCACCGGCGTCAACGGCGTCGCCCCTTATCGCGCCAATCGAGGGACCCTCTGGTACGCCAATTGTGCGCTTTGAGAATCTTCCCGAGCCTGGCAGCGGAGGAGCGTCTCCGGAAGGAACGACGCCGACACCGACGCCGAAGAAGAAGTCTAACCGCCGGCGAGTGCGAGGGCGAGGACGAAGGGGACGCCGCAACTCGGTTGGCCCCCGTGACGAGGGCGAAGGCGAGGGCGAGGAGGACGCTGAGAGCTCCGCCGAGGAGCGCAAGTCACTTGACGTCCCTGTCATTGCTAGGAACACGTCCAGCCAGTCCCTTCACACCGACCAGGAGCGGCTGGGCATTTCGTCCGATGTCATCGGATTTGGCTCGCATGGCACTGTGGTCCTGAAGGGAACATGGGGTGGACGACCAGTGGCCGTAAAGCGCCTTTTGTCCGACTTTGTGCGGCTAGCGAGCCAGGAGGTCAAGCTTCTCCAAGCGAGCGATGATCATCCGAACGTAATTAGATGTAAGTTGACAGTGCGTGTTCTTAGCTGATCTCAGACTACTGCCAGGAGCGAAGAGACAACTTCCTCTACATCGCGCTGGACCTCTGCCAGGCGTCGCTGGCCGACCTCATCGAGGCGCCAGACCGACATGGCGAGCTTGCGGCTAATCTCGACCATAAGAAAGCGTTATCGCAGATCACGTCTGGCCTGAAGCATCTTCATACCATGAAGATCGTGCACCGTGACATCAAGCCTCAAAACGTGCTCGTATCGAAAGGAAAGGACGGGTCTTTACGGATGCTCGTCTCGGACTTCGGTCTCGCGCGCCGGCTTGAGCAGGGGCAGTCATCGTTCGCCCCGACAGCTAACAACCTGGCGGGGTCGCTCGGTTGGCGTGCGCCCGAGTGCATCCGTGGGCAGGTCAAGCTCAACGAGGGCTTTGACCCGATCCTCACAACGCACTCGACTGGCAGCACAACGTCGTCGACCGGGTCGATTGGCGACCTTACGTCCATGTCGGATGAGGGCACGCTGGTCAAGGGAGCTCCCCGTGCACGCCTCACCAAGGCTGTTGACCTGTTCGCGCTCGGATGCCTCTACTTCTGGGTGCTCATGCACGGTGAGCACCCTTACGGCGAGACGTACAACCGAGAGGCCAACATTGTCAAGGGTGACGCGGTCTACATGGACAAGCTGAGCATCCTGGGCGAGGAGGGGGTCGAGGCGCAGCACCTGATCAACCGGTTATTGTCGTCCGACCCGTCCGAGCGACCAGACACGTCCGAGTGCCTCACGCATCCCTTCTTCTGGACGCCAGCGAAGCGACTCGCATTCCTTTGCGACGCTTCGGACCGGTTCGAGATCATGGAGAACGACCCGCCCGAGTCGACGTTGGTCATGCTCGAGGACGGAGCGCCCGACGTGATCGGCAAGGACTGGTACTCACGCATGGACCGCGTGTTCACGTCGTCCCTTGGAAAATACAGGAAGTACAAGGGCGCGAGCGTGCGAGATTTGCTCCGAGCGATGCGCAATAAAGTGAGTTCCTTTCAGCTTTGCTCTAGGGTCCTAAGCTGACGACAGAAAAACCACTACCAGGATCTCGAGCCGAGTGCGAAACGGCATTTCGGCGCGCTCCCGGCAGGATTCCTTAACTATTTCACGACCAAATTCCCCAAGCTCTTCCTGCACGTGTACCACGTCGTGCGCGACAGCCGTCTCCGCCACGAGACCATGTTCGAGGTCTACTTCCAGGAGAAGGAGAGCTAGGCGCCGCTTTGGTCAGAGCTTCATATCACACCGTGTTGTACTGTAGACGTTATCGTAGCATGCATAATTACGACTTAGCCGGAGCTGCACGATGAGCGCGAAGCCCGCATCGTGCTCTGTTGTTGCTCGCGACTGTCTTTGTCGCGGACGTTGCCGAGGTTGAGGTCGGTGAGGCTGAAATGGTTCCGCGACGCGTCGCGTGAAATGTTGACATGAGCGGCAAGGTTGATTTCGTCAATCCATCTCTGCCGGTTGTCACCACCACCCAATCAATATGCCGTCGTCCTTCATCCTCGCACCAGCCCCGGCAGCACCGCCCGCCGCTTCGTCGACAGAAGAGGTGCACCTCCTCCCCTTCTCGCTAGGGTACAGCGGCCCCGCCCCCGTCTCGGCCTTCTTCCGCCCCCGCCCCGCCCCATCAACCCACCCATACCCGGGCTCGACGATTGCCTCGTTCCGTGGCCGAGCTCTCGTCGCGCAAGAACTAGAACTGCCGAGGGGATACAGGGGCGTGATTCTGCAGGCCGAGGCGACGAAGTACTCGGGTGCCGCTGGTTCCTCCTCCGCTACTGCTGCCGCTGCGTCAGAGAGTGAGGAGAGTGGTCGGGGTAGGGGCGCGCCGCTCACGCCTGCGCCGAGTGCGACTTCAGTCGAGGACGAGGGGAGAGTGACGCGCTCGACGCGCTCGACGTCGACGTCCACGCGCGCAAGGGGAGCAGGACAAGTCGCCCTGTCCCGGCCGCGAACGCGGGCGACGCGGAGTAGGAATAAGAGGATAGCCCTCTCGGACGATGAAGACGAGGATGAGGGGGAGGATGTCGTCAAGCCCATGCCTAAGAAGGCCAGGGCTGATCCTGTCGCCGTGCCCGCCATCAATGTACCGGAGCCGGAGCCAGAGCCGGAGGTTAAGAAGGAGACTGCGGAGGGAGAGGAGGAAGGAGAGCTGGAGAAGGAGCCCCGAGACCGACTCAAGACGCCTGACGTTCCCGCTATCGTCGTGCTTCAGGCTACACCTGGCGCATCCCAGAATGAGAATGCGTCGCAGGCCCCACACGCTCCGCCGTCCCCGAGACCGACTGAGGATTCTGAGCCGTACACCGCTCCCGAATCCACCCTTGATACCGACTCGACATACGTCAAGACCGACTCTGAGGACGTTAAGACCGCGTCCGAGGACGTCAGGGCCGAAACCACCGAGACGGCGAAAACACCGCGGCCATCAATCATCCTCGGGGAGGACGAGGAACCCTCAGACGTGCGCGTGCTCTACCCCTCTGCCTCATTCAAGAGCATCACGCTCTGGACGCCCGACGCGCCCATGCCCGGCTTTGTCGCTGATGAGCTCACCTCGCCTGCCGTAGCGACCAAGGAAGGGGAGGAGAGTGGGCTGGGGCAACTGCGCCGCTCGTGGTGGCGCCAGGGGGGGGCGGGGGAGGGCGGAGACGAGTTTGTGCGCGGCCTCGGGGAGTGGATTGGCCTCGGCGAGATTGTGAGTTTGATGAGAGCGAGGAGAAACTGACCCGCCAGATCCACAAGCCGGTGTACCTCGACGATGACGAGTAATGTAACAGTAACAGTGCCGTGAACCACAATGCATGATTAGATATGTACACTGGCCCGAACTCGAGCGCAAGGTATGTATGTATGAACAAGATACTGTGCTGTAAAACTGAAGTCTAAAAGATGCACCAAGCAGTGCAGAGGGAAGAAAGGATAGGAAGGAGAACTACTTAGAGCTTCTCGTCGTACCCAAACTTCTCGACAAAGGCGAAGAGGGCCTGCTCGAATGCCTGGCCCTTTGCGCGCTTCTTCTTGGACCCGCCGCGCTTCCACGCGTCCTCGTCTGTCTCGTCGTCGATGCCCTCGTCACACGCGTACGACTTGCCCTCCCACTGCCGGATGAGCTTGAGCGCCTCCTTGTGCGAGCACCACTGGCGCTTGCGCTCGTGCCGCTCCTTCCTGCGCTGTCAGCTTGGTCGGTTATTACAAGCTAGTCGCTGCGCTTGCATGCGCTTGCGGCTGGCCCCGTTCGCTGCTGTAAAGAGCAGCGGACGGCCTTAAAGTGCAGGGGCAGAAGGAAGGCTGGAGGCATAGAGGCTGGAGGCTGGAGGCTTACGCCGGCTCCATCTGCATCCACACGTTTCAGATTTGCCACCCGAGCACTCACCAGTCCTTGTCCAGGTCCTTCTCCGAGTCGATCGCGATGGCGTGGACGTGCCAGACCTCGACGCCGGGCTTGGCGCTCTCAATGGTGCAGAGCTCGGGGGAGATGTCGTCCTCTGGAATCTGGGCCGGAATGCCAGCTGTGTTGTCAGCTTGTCGAAATGAGGTGAGCTCACCTTCCTCGTGCGCCTCGCGCGCGGCCGCCTCGCCCGACGTCTCGCCCTTCTCCACGCCTCCCTTGGGCACTACGTGCGTAAGATCATGGCGGCAAAGGATGTTACAAGGTTGTGGAATGCAGGAGTTGGCGTCAGTGTCAAGCTTCGGAATAAAGTGAGCTTGTAAGCTCGACTCACTGATCCAGAGGTTCGGGTGCTTGCGCGACGTGATGAGCAGGACGCGGCGCGTCTTCGGGCAGTGCACGACGGCGAGGCCGACGTGGCGGATCTTCATCGTGGAGAAGTACGAGCTGACGGAGGCGAAGCAGGCCGAGACGTCGAGACAGCTCATGGTGCTGTGTGTAGAACGGGCGGCGGGTGGAGTGGTGGAGTGGAGGTGTGCAGGCGGTTTACGCAATTGTTTGTTTGTACGGCCCGGTTCCGTGCCGTTCTGTGGTGCGCGTTGATGGTCGAATAGAAAGGGGGCGAGGGCGGATTAGAAGGTATATTAATAACTGAGAGGCCGTTACTGGACGCTTCCATGCTCCATGCACGTTCGTTTTCGACCCCGAGGGGTGAGGGGACTCTGCGGTCGTCAAGGGGTTACGATCTGCACTGATTGCAGATTTGCTCGCATGCGCGCGCATTCATGGCTGCGAGGATTGCAGATCTGAAGCTGCGAGAGTGACAAGCCGATGCGACAGAGCGACAGAGCGACAGGTGACCCGCAGTCACTGGAGACGCACACGCCTCACGCTGCAAATCACGCGGAAGGAGACATGTGATTCCGATCGTCCCAAGCACCGCACACTTGTGCTAGTTGAGGGCGCAGGTCACGGCCCATGCTTCACGTCTAAAGCAGACGCTGCGAGGAAGAGAGGCGGACAGTCTGTCAATCTAGACCACCCTCCGCGGTCACTCGTCAGTCACTCGTGTGATCGATGTGTCACTACCAACTGAACGCTTCGTCAGTGGCGCCAGAGTGACACAGCAGGTGACGAGTGTACCTAGGAATAGAAACAGCAGGTCTCATGTGAGCCGGATCCGATCATGAATGCAGCAGGCAATATGAGCGATTCTTTGACCTCAAGTCACTCTCGTAGAGCACGTGTTGCGAGCATCTCCAACTCTCCATCACTTACTCTCAAAGGCGGCAACGCCGCCGGTGCACAACATGTTTCGCCTGTCAGCAGCAGGGCTCGGAACTCGTAGTCACAGTCGAGATAGCGGCCGCTGCTAGTCTGCAGCCAAGCACAGAGTCGCGCTTCTTGGCAAGCTGCCGTGACAAGCTATCGTTGTGGGTCGAGCTACAGCGCTACAGCTAGTGGACAGACCAGAACGCCGCGATAGCGCGCAAAGTCAGTTTATCGCGCAATCGCACCTGCGGGGAAGGCTCACGTGAGCCCAAACGCTCCTCGACACCCGCGGCTGTACTCCCAGACATTCCAGCAACCCACAACCCATGTGAGGATTCGAGCAGATCGCCAAACCCGAACGCGGAGGAAGGCACTCCACCGGGTGATATTCTCACAGTTGTCATTGTCAGACGATCCGGCACACAAACCGCCGAGATGCCGGTTGCTGCTCGTCGCTTGCTGCTTGCTGACCACTCGCAAGAGAATTGACCGCTCAGACGAATCAGACGCCAGGTTACCTCGACATGTTCGATCGCGGTGCGAGAAGGATGGTCGCAGACACCGCGGCTACGTTAGCTTGCTTAGTGTTGCGCTCCATGCACGATGCGAGATCTCGGAATGCACATTTGTCACCGGCATGCGGTAGCAGCTGGTGCCAGTCGGCTTGGAACTGTATATCCTTGGCACAGAGTCGTTGGCCCGTTCTGCAAGAGAGCGCGTCTTTCTGAAGGTGGAGCAGACCACCTCACACTGCATGCGAAGCAGAGAAGTTTCGGCAGCTATGGGCCGACACCCCGCAGTCCAAAAGCTGCTTCCAAGATGCCGACCCCTCGCGCCCCGCCGACTAACCTGGCGCTAAGTGTTAGCGGACCCACCCCGCAGCCCATGGTGCGTGCCCCCGCACTAGGTCGTAACCGGTTTGAGACTTTCAGACCTGATATGGCCCGTTTGGTTGGATGTACGCTTGGAGCACCACTCAGCTTGCCTGACTGGCGGGCGCCATCGACGAATTTAGTCATTGAAGGAGTGACCGGAGTGGCCGGAGGTTGGCCGTTTGCTGGAAGGGAATCCGGAAATTTCTTGCCTCGATCGGTGGAGCCATGCAGAAGAGCATGGGAGTTGTATTGCCGGGCACCGGTTAGACCGGGTAGGGTGGTGTTGAGGGACGTCGAACGAGATAAGCTAAGAGGGAGGCGGAGATAGACCCTGAGACCGGTTATCGTTGGTTTGCATGGCAGGCAAGTGTGTGCATTGTGCAGGCGGGGAAGACGCAGGGTGGGGGCGGGTGCAGGAGTGGGTGTGTGGGTATGCTGGGCCGGATGGCCGGAGGGAGGAGCAAGGGCTGATCGACATGACGCACTCCGGCGCACCCGGCGCGCCGCGCCTGGGCGTGCCCCGTGCCGGGCGCTGTCTGCGTGTCTGACCTTGGTTGGCGTCGTGGAGAATGATCCCGCGGCGACTACGTGCCAGGATGATTGGACGGCGGTGCACGGCGGTGGACCTGGATGGACAGCGCTCGGGTATGCGCTCTCACATGGCCCCGCTTGCAGTGCTTGCAGTGCTCACCCTCGCCGCGTCCCGGCTCCTTCCTGAAGCACGCAGCCAAGCTCTGACGATGACCCGATGGCCTTATTTTGCAGACGCGGCTACGTGCCTGCACATACCAGGCCTGCGTGCCCTGCGCCAGACCCTTGCGCCCGGCCTGCCCTGCATCCTGTCAAGTCAACAGCCGACGAGCCGAGCTAGAGCTATAGAGCGACTATCATCCACCACCATAGCTAGCCAGCCAGCCTGGACACACCTTCTCTGGCCCTCACACCACTGATCACCTGGTCCGACAAATCGCTCTCTTTCCTCTTCCTCGTCATCATCGTCTGTTCCTCTTGTAAATACACACTTCGTTACTCTACCGACAATCCTCTTGCACCCGACACCGGCACCTATCGACTCTTCTTGTCCGACCCCGCCCCCTTGCTCGTCGTACCCCCCGCCGCCGTTCGCCGCTTCCCAGGCCTCTGCTGGCCCCGCCTGCGGTCACGTCCGGTCAAAGGTCGAGAGCCAGACTAAGATAGACCGCCGGCCAGCCCTTTGCCTGTTTCTGATCTTGGCTCTGACTGCCCGCTCACCATGATCGGCCAGCTGCTCGGTCGGCCGTCGCCGGCACTGCGACGTGGACAGGTCTTCCTCATCCTGTTCTTCTGGATCTGGCGTCTCTACAAGGGAGATGGATCCTACATGCGCTCGACGCCGACAGGCTACAACCGCTCAATGCCGAGCCACCGTGTGCGGCCCGTCGCGCACCTGGCACCCACGATCGCTGTTCCAGCCAAGGTGTGGTGGCGACGGGTGTGGTCCTTCCTCGTCGCCCGCAGGACCGGCACAAGGTGGATGACCAACATCAATGAGAGGCTGAGTGAGTCCCATGACCTGTGCAAGCCGCGAACAATGGTCCTGACGTCACCCCGCAGAGTACTTCACCCCGTATCAGCTTATTCTCGGCACAATGACCCTCGTGTACGCGCTACGACATGCGGATGATCTGTTAGGAATAGGACGTGAGTGCTCATGTTGGACCTGTCGAGTCGGGCCCGCGCCCGACCAGACTAAAAAGTCGAAACACAGGTCACATGTCTAGGATAGTTCGCTGACAGAGTCCTAGCGCCCGAGCCACACGCAAACATGGTATGTGTCAAAACATTCTAGCCGCCTTGACCTTGTCCTGGAGGAAGGCGGCCCGGCTTGCACCGATTGCACCGAAGAGCAGCTGCCAGGAGCATCAACTGACGGGCAGTACTCTCGGTCTTACTATCGTGCCACCTATATCAACACCGCGCTCGATGCCGGTTTCTCGACGGCTATGTCGATCCGGCCCAAGTGGCTTAGGGATATCAGCAGTCTCCTGTTCGCGGGGTACTACCTCATCTACTCTAACGAGGCTGATGAAGTTGTGAGTAGGCGGTATCTGAGCACACCTGACACCAACAGCTTCGCAAATACCGTGCCCTTTGCAGTGTGGAGATGCTCCGAACAACCTGGGAGAAGACGTTCATCAACCCCTATGTGAGTCGAGCCACAGTCGGCAGTGACGCAGTGGTCTGTTGAAATCTCCCGTATGGCAAGCAGTTCTGACAACAGCTTCGCTTTGCGATGAAGATGATGCTCCCCAAGCTGCCCATCGTCAAGTATGTAATGATCCCGCGCCCTCCCGGAAGCCGCGAGAACCTCCCCGCCGTCAAGGCCATGTTCTTCTTCGACGGAACGGAGGAAGAACTTGCCAAGGCGACCGAACTGGTTATTGATTACCCGGGTGGTGGCTTCATTTCTATGGGCCCCGAGTGCCACGAGGAGCGTCTTCGATGCTGGGCCAAGCGCACGGGCAAGCCCGTGGTCAGCATTGACTACGGAAAGGCCCCAGAATGTAAGTTGGCCCTGTGCTGCTCAACTGACAACAGACCCATACCCCTGGGCCATCGAGGAGGGCATTGACGCGTATGTCACCATCAACCAGACTGGTGGCGAGTGCCTTGGCATCAAGTCTAGCAAGCTTCGCATCGTCCTCACTGGAGACTCTGCCGGTGGAAACATCTGCACAACCATTACGAACCGCATTCTCGAGCATGGCGCCCACGTCCCCCGTCCTGTTGCAATCATTCTGTCATACCCTGCTCTCGACTTCAACTTTACATCGTTCATGTCTCCCGACAACCTCAAGGTCCTCAAGACGGAGCAGTCAGAGACCCACATTCCTGGTCTCCTCGCCGGCAAGGACCACATGCGCCACGCCGCTCCTCTGTCCGTTGTTGACGACGTCAAGCCCCGCCGCCCGACACATCGCTCAAGCAAGAGCTGGGCTAACAAACTCGGCATGAGCATGGCGATGACCCCGTCGGCCGAGTCGCCCTCGCATCGCCGCTCCCGCAGCACCTCCCGCTCCCGCGCCACGAGCCCCCACCCCAAGCGCTCGCTCACGACCCGCAACTCGGGCTGGTTCGCGAACCGCGAAGGTCGTACGAGCTTCACGAAAGAAGAGGACTCGGAAGACTCTGACGGCGAGTCGTGGGCCTCTGCGGACTCGCGCCGCGATGCCGACAAGTCTCTTCGTGACCGCGTCAAGACGCCTGGTCCTCACATGGACGAGCGCTTCAAGGGCGGCATCCTCGAGGCTGCCGGCGAGGAGCTCGTTGTCGACCCCTTGCGTCCGAAGAGGGCTCCGCTTGGCACTCGCCTCACCATGACCTCGCGTGTCGGTTACTTCCAAGACCGTGTCATCACTCCTAGCATGATGCGTGCCATGGCTATTCTGTATGTCGGACCTCAGCAGTGCCCCGACTTTGGTTCCGACTACTACATCTCTCCCATCCTCACCCCGCCTCACCTTCTCGCTCACTTCCCTCCCGTGTATATGATCTGCGGTGAGCGCGACCCCTTTGTCGACGACACCGTCCTCTTTGCTGGCAAGCTGCGCGAGGCGAAGCGTGCTCGCCGTGCCACCGCGCAGAAGGCTGCCGCTACCAGCAAGGATGGCGTCCCAGACCCGATCCTCCGCGAGAGCGACGACGACTGGGTTCAGATGCGCATCATCGAGGGCTGGGGCCACGGTTTCATGCAGATGTCCGCCCTCATGAAGGAGGTTGCGCCAGTTCTGATCGAAATGGCCGACTGGATCGACGAGTCGTTCCAGCGCGCTGACCTCATCGACAAGGACGAGGCGTCCGCCGCCGAGAATGGCAACGCCCAGGACCTGCCTTCCCCGGTGCGCTCCCGCCTCGTGAAGCCGGGCACGCACTATCCAAAGATCCCCGCCAACGAGCGCCTCGGCGACGCCGATCTCGGTGGCCTGGACTTTGCCGAGTCGGGTGAGGACGAGGGTATGATCTCGTTCACGCCCAAGACGAAGAGCAAGAAGCGCACCCCTCCTCCGTCGCAGTTCATCAGCATGCCGCGCCGATCGAGCAAGGAGACCCTCATCCCGCGAAACAACAGTGCCCCCAGGTTCGACAACGACGTCACGTCCATCGCGAGCGCAGAGACGGCCGAGGTCCAGACGCCGAAGACGTTTACGTTTGACGCTCCCCAGCCGCGTGGTAGCGGTGCGTTCGCCCTCTTCGGTCGCTCGAGCAACAGCACGCCGCGCGCAGCCCCCACGGGTGCCTCTGCTCTCTATGGCGCGGGCACCTTCCCGCGGCGGTCCGACAGCGTGGGCTCGAGCGGCTCGCGCGCGAGTGTGTCGCT